ATCCTGAGGTAGCTCTCGAGATCAGACCAGCCCATTCTTGTAAAACCTTGGGTTTGTCTTTTTGTTGGTGGTGTTTTTTTTTGTGAAACTAAGTACTGCTAGTGTAACACACAGACAGCATGCAGGAGCAATCACACAACTAGCCACTGGTTTATTTAGGTCTTCAGTAATGAGTCTTATTTTATTATTTCTTGAGGATTGAAGTAATCCGAGCAGCACAAACCACTCTGCGGGTGAAGTTCAGCTACGTAATGATTGCCTTGACAATACTGGGGTGCATAGCGATGGTGATCCGAGGGAAGCAGGTAAGCATAAATTTTTGGCTGGTGAGTGCAAATGCATTCTAACAGAACTGTTAACAGAACTGTCAGTCCTTCCGGTTCCCCAGAAGGTAATGCTCGCTGATTAATTCCCAGATCAGAAAAGGGTGGCATCAGTGTTAGACTCTATATACAAAAACAGTTTTTTCTCCCACTGCCTTCCCAGCCCAGCACGATACATCACTGACAATCTCATCTTGCACTTGCAACTCCTCAGTTTTGCAGACAGGCTGCAAAAGTTTGAAAAGAAAAATAGTTTTCTGTTCTGTTAGTCTGATAGACAGCTAAATGTTCCTTGGGCCAAAAGGATCCATACAGTTAATTGTGTGGTGAACCTATGACAAATCACAGTACCTCTCTATGCGCTGCAACAGCAAGTAGTGTTTCTTCACCCAGACTGAGAATTCTCAGTCTTTAAACAGTGGGGAGTTATGGTAAGCACTAATTCTGTGCTCCTTAATTGTATTAGAAAAGTCTCCCTTTACTCTTAATGGAACAATTTTTTTTCCCAATTACTGTTTAATTGAAAAAGCTGTACATTTAATAGAAAAGCCCTCAAGTGCTGTAGACACTGAGCAACCATCCTCTCTCTACTCCTAGGCTGCCTTTCACTAAAGCCATTCTTCTGATTACAGTGTTTCACTCTTCTTTCTGTTAACATTTCCAGGTAACTTTAAAACTGAGTCTCAGTGCCAGCACTATAAATTATTGAAGTGGTAACACTTCTACTTGTCTGCATTCACTTCTCAAAATATAAAAGGATGCATCATTGAAATGAATCAATGGAAAGGCTTCTCCTAGGCACTAGCAGAAGAAATCAAGGACTAACAATTTCCAGAAGTTATTCCTCTTAGGTTCACAGAGTATGAACACAAACACTGGAAAAGAGGACAACTGCTTTGGGATGTTAGTTTTCACAGCAGCTGTAATCTATTATACTTAACTTTTTGTTGCTCTGACTTCTGAAGACCAGAGATTAGTATGAAATACTGACCATAAGCAGAGAATACATCTGCTAGTGCTATTAACAGAAGGCCTTAACTTATTCCCAGAGTTTAAAGTAAAATTATCTGGATGTTGAATTTTAACCCTCTCTTTTCCAGGTTTTGCCTTGGTAAGGATAGGCCAGATATCTTGTAAGCAATTCATCTCTGTGGCCCTGTAAGTGACACTTTCTACTCATGCTTTGTCATTATTTTGTAGGCTGTAAAAAGGCACGAAACTCTTACAGCCATCAACCTGGAGAAGAAAGCTCAATGGAAGGAAGAAGCTCAGAGTGCACCTGCTAAACCTTAGAGCAGAAAAGGAAGAAACCAAGAATGGGGAAAGAAAAGCTGCTGTCCTTTTCAGCGAGTTGCATCTTTTTTGTGTTCAGCGTTTGTGTTCAAGAATGAATGCATTATGCTGTAGTCATTAAAAACAAACATCTGTTTTCTTCCTGATAACTTTCCTCCAAACACTTTTTCAATGCATTTAACTTTACTTCATCCATTAACTGTATTATAACTCATTACTTCAGTCATCCACTATTGCTGACTATTCCAGCTCCCTTCAGAAAGAATATTATATGGATTCTATATTTACAGGCTCCCTAAAACTTTCTGCATGAGAGAACAATTATTAGGCAAGTCCTTGACATGAGAGTAATTGTATGAACTACATTAACACTGTCAAAATGATCAGAAGTTACTGGAAAGCTTGTTTACTTATTCTAGGTCCAATATATTCTCGCCTTCTTCTGCTAAAAAATGGGAGAGGGAATGATAACGAAATAGCATTCTGCAGAAACAACGTGTTGTAAATAAGAACCACATTTTTTGACCTTTTTTTTTTTTTTTTTTTAAACACTGAGTTAGCAGTGAGGTAAGAGAAAATTAAAATTAAGAGAAGTATTTTAAAGAATAGTGAGCATCAGCTTCAGCCTGTGCTACCCCGTTGTTTACTTAGAGGAATAGGAGAAAGTCAGTCAAGCATTTCTGCTCTCTGGTGCCAAGCTCTTTTCCAAAATTTATTTGGATTTATTTGCATATTTTCCCTTAAATTGCCATCTGCGCTTTCATGATGCTAACCTTAAGTTTCAGAAGCAGACCCCCTTCCTAATAGCCCTGTTTCTGGCATCATGTCAGAAGAGTTGCATACTGTTTGTGCTAAAGAGCATTCAGCAGTTGGAGACCAGTATTTTTTCTTCCTCTCAGCACAGCAGACTGGGATCATCATGGATGTTCAGATGTATTTTCCCAGGACTCCCTGTTAAGTGGCTCCCAGGGATTCCAGAAACAGAAGAGGTATGTGTTTGACAGATGTAGTTTGTGAATATTTTGCAAGCACAAGGCAGATAGTTTTTCCTGAAACTTTTCTTCCTTGTGCTACTGAAAATTAGCAACATTGCTGAAGAAATTAAAAGTCCTTCAAAAATGCAAAGGATTGTGATTTTTTGGTGCAGTATTTTGTACTGTTCTTGATAGCAAGCAAGCACTGCAGTCCATCTTTCTATGAATTGTATTTCTGCTTACCCCTCCTACTGCTGAGATGTACTCAATCAGATACAACATGCAGTCATTCCACAGAAGTCACAACCAGCAGGTGATGCCACGACCCATTATCATATTCTAAGACAATCACTGCAAGAATGTTGTCATGCAAGCAGAGCAGGCTCTCATATATTTTCTATTCAGTTAATACCTAGTGGAGGTCGTAACTGCAGTTATGTGAACAGATCTTTCATGACAGCTTTTGTTCTTTGTTACACTACTAAGCATATAGGTGCCTGTGCTTACGCTGAATAAAACCAAAGAGCAGAACATCAGCTTCACAGCAACCTGAAATAATGCCTCGAGAGAAATTTGTGATTTGATTTATGCTTGGTGATGACAGAAAGTAGAACTATGCATCTCTCAGAAGTGTTCCACTTTCAATAAGCACCTCTGAATGCATTCTAGCAGGTATTTGATCTATTTTTGTATATAAATCTTAGAAAGCAACTCTCCAGAGCAGCAACATTGATCAGTTTTTCCATTTCAGACAGTATCTGTAACCTTTATGCCCTTTTTTAATCAAAAATTGAACTCTGGTCCAGTAGTCCAACTGAAGCTTCATGCAGTAGCAGTCATATCCTTCCCTTATGAGTCTGGTATCCCCACAATTTCTGCATCTACAAGAAAACCTGAACGTTGTTGCACACATTTGTGTTTTCTTTCAGCTTCCATACAGGCTCAAAAAGCCTAAGCTTTATGCCACCCTCCAACTCACCCCAACCAATGCAGGTTTTGGGTTTTCTTTTTTTTTTTTTTGCAAGTAGTTTGGTAACATAAACATTAATCTTTATGAGAGGAATAAAGAAAGAAACACTTTCACAGTGTGATAGCTTCTGTGAAAGCATTTCTGAACACAGACAAATGTTTAAGAAATATATGTATACATTAGATTGGCTGCTTAGGCAGTAATGTGCAGCTAACAAGAATACCCTGCACCACCTGATTAGGTCGTATCTTTAGCCTATGCTTTTTTATAACACTTCACGATGAAAAAGAACATTAAGAACTTAGAACAACATTTCATTTTTTTCCTCCCCTTTAGCTTAGTCTGAAACACCATTTGCTTTTATTCCAGAAAGTAAAATTACTAATTCCACACCATGCACCTTTTAATTGTACCTGTTCCATATATGTCTCAATCCAGTGCTCAATCTGCCAACTTGAATGCTGCCTCAGAAGACCATTGCAGGAGCACTAAGGACATTGTCACAGTAGTACAAAAAAAGATCTTTCTTATTTTCCTACTAAGATTCAGATATCTAAAGATCTTAATGTTTCCTAGCTAAAATAGACATAGGAAAGTACTAATCACATGTTGTGACAATTCCAGACGAAAAGAAACCATACTGGAAAACACAGGGAATTACTTAAAGCTTTTCAGAGATGCAAGTTGCCCAAAGGAACACCAGTAGTCCCAGAAATCCTCAGGGAAGCACAGCGACGCACAACCATGAGCACTGTTGCTTTTGGAGCTGGGTGGGGGGCTGGTTCTTCAACAGTCTTAATGCTGCTTGTTACAGAAATGCAGGGTCAAGAACACACCTGTTTTCCAGGGTCAGTGCCTTCCTCCTTTCCCTTAAGATTAAGAGACAGGACTTCAACCGCCAGTATTTGGTAGCATCAAAGAACAGACACAGAAATAAAATAACAAGCTAGTCCCCAGGCAGCAGCTGCCTCAAATAATTGTTTTGCCTGTGTATTTCCAGAAGCCCCAGGCACTGGTCCTGCTTCAGTTACTGAAGTTTCAGCAACTTTCTGCCCTATCATCTCACGTATCCTGAATGCAAGAGAGCAATCTTGCCTGCCATGTACCACTGGAGACTTTACCAACAGAGTGAACAGTAGCTCGTTCCTGTTTGCCACATAACATGAAAGGAACTTCAAACCTTTTTAAACAGTTGTTGCTCCTAGTTTTTAGCATCCTTCTTTTAAGTCCTTATAGCAACACTGAGAATGTTCCTGCAAAAAAGTTTCAACAAAGCTGAATATGAAGTTGAAGTATTTCCCCCAATTCTACTCAAAGGTCTCTTTTTATACCTATGAGAACTACGTTAGCCGTACAGAATCATGCCAGGCAATCAATGGTCAAGTGGTAATGTAAGAGGATCCTCTTTTTTCAGAAGCACTTATCTTCCAAAACAGAGTCTTTACATGGGGCCCGAATGTTATTTATTAGATGGGTATGTTACACCACGCATTTGGCTCTATCAAAATACAAACAGTTGGACTGCTCTTGGTTTACCAAGTAATTCTGATCAGTCTGTATCAGTAAGCTCTTCCTTTCATAATGCACAAGTCTGTACTCCCTTCCACACTCACGTAATTTGCAGCCTTCGTTAGAAATTTTGTTTCTTTTCAAGTCATTAGTAAGACTAAATAAAGCAAAGACAAGAACTGGTTGCTGGAAGATCCTGATGAAAATACATTCAATTGAGCACCATTTAAAATCAAATTGAGACCTATGAGTTTAGCCACATTTTAATCCATTTAATGTGTGCCACATTGACTTCTGTATTGTTTTAGTTCTCAGTCAAAATATAATGCAGTACCAGTCAAATGCTTTACACAGTGTAAGTATATACAACAACAATATTACCTGTGTCAACCAAGCCTGTCACTTCAAACAAACATATCAAGTTTAAAGATTTATACTTATCTGCTCTGAATTCACATATCCACTGCAAAAGTAACAACACTGGCTAGGCTCCTTACACAGGAAGGCACACCATTCAGCTTAAATGGACTCAATTTTTTACTTTGCTCATTTAGAGGCAATTGTCATTTTTCTCTTGGGGGCAGGGGAGGGAAATGCCAATGCACCACATTGTTTTCACTAGCCTGGAAGAGAAAACACTTATATATATAGATATATAGATATGTATATATATACACACTTACGCATGTGTGTATATATATATACACGTGTGTGTGTACATATGTATATATACACACAAGTGTATATATACACAGAATATACATATATGAATATACAGAATATATGCACACACACTTCGCTCAGATTTGTTTACAAAATATGTAGCATTTTTATACCATCCAATAAGAGGTAAATGATTTTAAACAAATCTTATAGAAATGACATGTTATTGGAAATTTACACGTAAAAAAATCCAGCACAAAAAAATCCAAAAGCTAAAACAAGATTTTGCTACTAATCAGTGCTTCTATCACCCTTCAAGAAAAGAGAAACACAGTTATTTATATGTGATGTAAAGGCAACATTGAGGGTTTTTGTTTTTAAATTAACCACCAAATTTAACCCCCTAAGATTACAAAGAATCAAAGTTCATTTACAGATCAAGTGCAGTAAACTAAATGTTCCTTCAGCACAAAGCAGCACTAGAAAATAACTGGGAGAGGGAAGGGGGAGGCCAACTGGCTTAGCTAGGGAGGCAGCAGGTGGCTTCTGCAGCAGCCACACAGGTCAGTCTCCATCCTGAAGCACAGACAGAACCAAAGATTGTATTTAAATAATGATGACACAGAGTTGATGTGTTCAGGCCTTTGCCTAGCTTCTTTCAGCACTTTGACAAGCATTTTATATATTGGTATTATTCTGTATACAGTGGACTGTTTTTTGCTTTTGCAGTGGCTTGTCACTGAGAGGAGTCATAAGGAGGATCTTGCAGACAGTTCTGCCACTAACATTTACCACAGGTACATGACACTGCAGATATCAGAGGCATTTTTGAAATGTTTACACTGGACAAATGTGTGTTGCAAATGTTCCAAATGGCTTGAAAGAACACAGCCCATTGCTGGGGTTGAGGGAGGCAGATAGCCTGGAGAATCCATTGCCTTTACAGAAATGGAACTGCCACTTACAATCACATGGCATGTCCCCCTTTTTGAAGAGCTTGGTGACAATGTCAGCTGAACTCAGTGAGGAGTGGCCGGCCTTTGCATCAGATGTCTGTGATCCAAGCATCTTGCGGAGCCAAGAACATGCTGCTAGCAGAAGGGCAGTCTACAGCTGTGGATGACAGCTGTCATGCAGTCAGCAATGCCTTACAGATGTCACCTGTAGGAATCAAGCATTCCATGCCAGTTCACCTGAAGTCCCATAAACAGCAGAAGAAATAATGAAATGAAAGGGCCAGGTGGATCTGGATGTAATATTGACTATCCTTTGAGCATAGAGCCATTTTAGTTCTTAAATATGAGGCTTGACCAGTAGGACTCTTTTAGGCAAGTTGGAAAGGAAGCTCTTGTCTTGTGAAAATGAAAAGGAGATCTAACACTCCCTGTGCTAAGTTTTACAAATTAAGATTTTGTGTTCAGAAGGTAATTTTTCACAACTCAGTTCAAGTCAAGCTGTGTAAAAATGTTAAGAGGCAATAGAAATTTTTCAGCCATAACTTTACAACCAAGGACCAGACTTTGTAGCACAAAGTCAGGAAGGGCTGGATTTTAAGGTAGGCCTGGCCGGATTATACTGTGCTGGCAAGCAAAATGAGAGTAGTTTCTCCATTCTAAAAGCTATTTCAAAAAGTCATTTCTGGGGAGGTGGTAGGAGTGACCTATTCACAGGTTCCTTTTTGTGGATGGAAAGACTGAGAAGGTACGCAGATTTCCACAGTGGTCTGCAGTCCACATTGAGAGCTCAGTGTTGAGAAGGGGTAGGGCCACGTGTGTTCAGTATTCGTAAAAACCAGAAAACACATCCATTGGAGCTTGTTGTTGCAGGGGATAGAAGACTTATTCCATTATTTGTAACGATCTATATTCCAATAGCTCCAGCTGGCACATACAGCGAAGGAGATACATTCCATACGAAGATTTAACGCAACTCACACAGCAATCCGAGGAGGCATCCAGAGAAAAGTATGGGAAATGAATTCAGCCACGTTCTCAGAAAGTCTGAAAGTCTCCCTGGAACTGCAGGCACACACTGCAGTAAATACATGAGAAAGGCAGCCTTACTTTGGATGCCAGGAGTGCGGGGGGCTAGTGGAGGTGGGATTCTTTTCCTGTAATAGGAGCAGGGAATATCTCAAAGTATAGAAATGTGCCTCAACCTCATGAAGATGACAGTGGAGAGGTTCAGAATCTAGAGAAGAAGTGTGATTCGGGCAACCCCTTGCCAAGAAGGGGGCATCCTGCCACAGAGAGCCGAAAGTTTTCCAGACGTATGTAAGAGAATGTGCACAAGGCAAGCAAATGAGCGCAAACAGGGTTATGGAAAACACTGAGAGAATCACTCCACAGGTGGCTTGTGGCTCGACAACAGGATTGGCTAGGTAGAGGAGCACACGGCACAGAGGCACCTCAGAGCTGGAAGCCTTCCATGGGAGCCTCACACTGCTGGAAGATGTACTGTTGCTGGCTGAGATCCACCTGTGGGGCAATGCTACTGTCTTCATCCTCTGTTCCAAAGTAGTGCTCAATCAGATCAAATGCCTTCTGATAAATCTCTTGATTCTCATGGCTCTGGAGGAACTCAATTTTGTCGAGGCCTGCAGAGAAAAGAAGTGTGCAAAGTTACAGCTTGGTGAAGCATTACAACTAATGATCGTATTCAGTCTATTTTAAATATCACATTCAATCAATCTTTAGAAAAAGATCTGCACATTTCTATGACATTAGGTGGCTAGGTAATCAGACATCTCTGTGGTCAGCTATACCTGTGCTAAAAGAGTGTATGCGTATATCAATGGGGAATTCATGCTTTGCCTCTCTACTGTATTGTCCTAGAAACAAGAAGAGGGGACAACCTCAGTCCAAGTGATCCAGAAGGGCAGGAATCCCCTGGGTCCTTCCAGTCTAGCAATTTCAGTTGCTGTTAAAAGAACCAACACTCACCTGGACTCCTTCAGCCAGAATCTTTCAGAAACTTTTTATAATTTTTTTTAAAATAATTTTATTCCAAAATCAGAGTTAAAACTAACTGGTTTTACTGTGCAACTGGCACACATACAATGACTATATACCACAACTGAATTGACATGACATAAACACACCTTTATAGCCAAATTATGTATGGATTGCTTGCCACTTCAGTATTTTTGAAAACATAAGGAAAGCTATGAGCTTATAGACAGGGAATGCAGAATGGCCCGATAGCACAGTGTGCTAAGAGAACAGAGGATTAAGACCTCATGAAGTGGAGAGCAAGCACACTTACTGTATTCTTTGTACTTAGCATATGAAAGAGAGAAGCCAGCAGTCTACAAAAAATGCATTAAAACCCCCCAGTACAGCAAGAGTGTTAAATGGTGAGCGACTTACAAGCTCTTCACCTGCAGTCTTCTGCTAAGATAACCTTATTTATGGCATGAAAAATGAAATTAAGTTGTTCTCAAAGATACTTAATTGTACTGAGAAACACTACTGAGGTGGAGAAACAGATGTACCACACAGGACAGAAAATGTCCAGACTCAGCTGAGAGGGCCTTTTAACAAGAAAACTAACCTTAAAGAGTAGCAGTAACTCAGAATCAGGATGAAATGACTGCAGTAAACACCACAACAATAGCAAAGCAAAGGCAAACCAGGAAATTGCTGCTGCTGGCAGAATTCTGCAAGGCAGCAGAGAGGGAAAGGATAGGCCTGAAAACTGTGCAACAGAACAGAGCTCCTAAAGTTTATCTGCTGTGGAAGGAACATACTACAGGCTGAATGATACCCAGAAGGCTTCCTCAATGTGAAAAAGACAGGAAAGACCATCTGCATACACTGTCTCAAGCTACATGCAGAAGAAGAAAGTAAATGCTGAAGTACACTGGTGGATGGAAACTTGTCTAAGAACAGTTAACAGTGATAAGGAAATCAATTCAGTCTCATCTACTGAAAATCTAATGGATCCATGGTCATTGCTTTAAAACCTGCCATCCACAGACACGTTGCTCATACCGTATGCTTCCTCAATAAGAGCGCAGTAAGGATTAATGCCGGCGCCGCTGCGCTTGGATTCCTGCTCTCCAAGCCTCAAGATGTTCTCCAGCCCACTCAGTGCCACCTGCACAATCTTTGAGTCCATTACGGTAAGGAGGTCACAGAGTGGTTTGATGCATCCCAATTCTACTAAATATCTGAAAAACATTACAAACAATTAATCAGGTTCTATGCAAACTTACAGCAGATACTGTCATTTAAGCATCAAGGACTAAGAACCAAAACAATCAGATGAAATATCAACTTGATCAGAGAAAAAACTACAGACAGGTATCTGTATCTTACCAATTCTGCTAAAACACTGAAAATATCATATACATCTTCTATCTATTTTACATATTTCTTTACGCATAATTTAATTTTCTAGCTTGTATTTATATACATCTTTACCTGTAAGTTTTAAATGAATATTATTAATATGAACTGCATTGATTTGTTACATAAGTATTTACTTCATACAAACTCGCATGTAAGCATAGCATACTAGCATAAAAAACAGGAAAAACAATGCATATGATGCCTCAGTTTGCCATTGCCTCAGGGGCTTGGCCATAGGTCTCTGAGCCATTCCTCTCCAGTCTTCTAACAATTTATTACATTCTGAAATGATCACTGTGAAATAAGTTTAAATTTTAATTTTTTTTCCACAAAAGAGAAATGGGTCAATTAATGAAATTAAACATTACAGTTGAAATTCTCATGTGGTTTCTCTATACAGGAATGAATGTCTCATTCACAACTCAATCCAAAAAGGACATCTCTGTAGACAAACACTGGAGGCACAAAATTGTACACAGTGCCTGTCTGTACCAACTCTTTATAGAAAAGTCTTCCAGTTTCTAGATTACTAATTTGACTCCTTGAACAAGAACCAGTTCACCCAATTGCACTGAAATATTTGTACTATTTCATACTTGATCTGTTCAGCAGAGCCCCCAGATGTTGCATTTGTGATTGCCCAAGCTGCTTCCTTCCTTGTTCGAAACTCAGCCGTTTGCAAAATATTTATAAGAGCTGGAAAGATATGAGCATCAATGACTGTCTGCAAAAAAGAAATTACATATCAGGGTTATAACTAGAATTAGAAACAAATTCCTAGTGCTGGCTCATTTAATGTCTATGCTCAGGATGACACATTAAACAATGAAGCAAACTTCTTAATGGACAAAAATCAGTTTATAGTTTTACATTCAAAACCCAAATTATCTCTGGGTAAATGATTATTCCAGATTGAACAGATCAGGTAAAACTACCTTCATATGTAATGTGCCACTTAATTATATTTTGACAGCAAGAGAATGCCATATTTCCCTAACTTTTCCAGATAGAGAACCACTCAGCTATTAAGTCAGTAAACCACTAAGTCATTAGGATTCCCTAAAAAGAAAAAAAAGAATTCATAAGCCTGTTTTGTATGACACTCTATTTTGATTGGATTAGACAACAGGGCAAAGAAAAAACGTAATTTTAGAACTAAGAATTCTGCAAAGCAAGCAAACACCAGTATGTTCATTCCTGGAAAAAAGACAAAGCTACAGATGGTTTGATACGATGCTTAACTGCATAGCCTATCAAACTCATACAAGTCAAATAAAATTTAGCAGCTCAAAGTTTCTAATAACTTCTGGAAAGAACGTTCTGCAGTAAAAGACAGATGAAACCGCTTCAGTATTACACCCACGATAAAGATTTGAAACACTTCCCCAAGGATCACTAGAAGAATCAGGAGCTCAGGGTACATTTTTAAACAACTGTTTTGTAAGCACATCATCATAGTACTGGTAACAGCACATTCAAAGCCAAAGAGATTCTTTGCAAGGAGCTCCATAAAGTGGAACAGACTGCATCCAGCATAAAGTTACAGGCAGTTCTCTTTCTTTTACCCTTCCTGCTTATCTGGGCATCCATGCTGCATGAACTTGCAAATCCACATGTGCACAACTTTTATCAACAGTTCCATGAACAGTCTCCCTTACACAGAATGTCTGCTTCTATAAAGGCAACCTGTGGGCCACAAGTAAAAACACTGCACCAGTTTGACAACCATCACAAAACACAACTTAAAGGAATTCAACAACAGAAAGCTCTGTTTGCTAGCACTGAAAGGTTTCTTATTTGCTTTAGATTTGGCAGAAAAAGTGCTAGAAGAGTGAGAAGATTCAACATAAATCCTTTTCCGCTTTCTGCACTGATAAAGGTACTAAGCACTACAATCTCCCCAAGCTTGCTGCCAAACTCCACCTTCTGAAAGGACAGTAGCAGACACTAATAATGGAATGTAAGAAACCCCGATACCTTGGTTTCATAACCCTCAAGTATGTCTCCAGGATTCACTGATCAAAGTGCAACTTCTTCGGAATCTATAATAGCATATTTTGAAGGAAAGCCTTATTTAGCATAAGCTTCAATGTGGTGGGGAAAAAAAAAATACTAATGAAGAAAATAAAGCATTAAAGGAAAAGTGCTTGCAGCATCTATTATTTTAAAGCCCGTGTCCCACAGCCTTTTCTACAGTGGTTTTTCTTGAACAAGAATACACAATCTAGCTCTGACATTTTACGTGGAAACAACATTTATTCTAGAAGTAGGTCACACTTTCCTCTCAAGTACATTTATTTACGTGATAACAGAGAAACACTGAACTACTGAAATAGATACCTTTTTTCTCTTGAAGAAAAGCACACCTCAGGCAGAGCAAAACCCTTAAGGATTGTGGTAGGATGAGATCCTACAACCAAAGATTTTAAAAGTGGTAACTTGAATGACTTTTTTCCCCTCTTACCACAGTCTGTGTCTGATATGGAAGTGTGCTGAAAACTCAAGTAATGTGGTGAGTATAAAAAAAGCACTCAAGCTCAATACAGCTCTTAGGTAAAATGAACTGTTAAGGGACTTCAGTTCAGTAACTGGCCCTTGAAAAACCAAAGATGCTTTGGCCATTCATGAAAATAGGTGGGAAACTTCTTACTCGCTGCAAGGCTAAGGATACTTAAACATTCTTTCTGAGCAGATGATGTACAATAACTTTCTTATTTACCTATCTTCTAAGTATGTCTGAAATTTATAAAGAAATTTGGTAACAGCAGGTCAACAGAACAAAAATTTAAAGAAACACTTCAAAAGAACACATCATTTTCAGCATCTCACATGGATTTGTTTAATCCAAATTACCATTGTGCTTGAACACAAGAACAAACTATTGTTAACAATCTGCTTTCAAAAGCAAACAAGAGCAGATCCACAGGAAAGTAAAAACTCTTCATATTTTTTCATCTTTTTAAACTTCCCAGTTGCAGCAGTGAGTTCTAGTTTGACTCATCTGAAGGAAACAATGTGCTTGTGTGTCCTGAAGACAGCACAGTCATTTCTCTGCTATCTCTTTGATGACCTTGCTCAAAAGCCAGGAATAATCAGACCCTGCCTGTTCACCTTCTCAAATGCCACTTGTGTTTCTACAGCACTCTATCACAACTCCCTCCACTTAAACCTTACTCTATGTAGTTGCTCTTCACATGGAATCAATCTGACATTTGATAGTCTCCCTTAACATCAATGCCCCATATATCTCCTGAAGATAGTTGTACACACAGTGCAACACCAAAGAATTATACTACAAATGAATTTTGTTTTGGTTTTATCCCTTTCCTTGGCATATAAAATAACTGTGTTTGATTTCAGGCTGCTACTATGCACTGAAACAGCATTTACAAGATATATTATCCGTCTGTTTTCAGCCCAATAGCTAATGCAGAGCCCATCCTTAAAATGATGAAATTAACACCAAAATTTATGCTCAACTGCATCCCTTCAGATACGCTGAAACCATTCTGACACACAACAGAATCTTGCAGAGAACTAAAATTGAATTTGAGACAAAATCTTAATTTTCAAATTTAATTTCAAACTGAACTGTAATACTCAGCCCTTCAACTAATCTGGCCCTCACTTTTAAAGAGTTTTTGTTGTGTCTTTTGTTTGTTTTTCTAAAGATGGCACTCGAGTTCTGAAAACTTCCAATAACTGCTCACCTTAGAAACATTCCATCCTTTTTATTTCTTCTGATCAAGTTTCTTCACTTAATAGCTTGCTTTAAAGAACAGAGCTACACAGAAGTGAATTTTTAGAGTTTTATTACATCTGCATCAGTGTCAAACCTAACTACTTTATAGCCAATTAGGGAATAACTCTTCAGCAGTAGAGTATTATAAGTCAATACATGAACTGGACAGCACTAGCTGAATTTTCTCCTCCTCATTTGAGTTTCAACAAATAAATCGCTTATAGTACACAAAAATACACATATAGTATGCAAACATCTACACATGATTCAGCACATGCGTGTGAAAGCAACCAAGTCTTACAGTGTGATCTTACTGCTCCTGCAAGCTGTCTCAGTAACTTTAGCAATTCAAAGATTACAGTCACCACTCTATCTGGCAACTGTGAGTACAGTCCTCCTCCTGCATCCTCCTCCTTCAGGCTGGAAATTTTATAGGTTTCACAGTAATTTGTGATCCAGAAAACACTTGAGATCTCAGTTCTAAATGACTTTTATGTTGTTTACACAGACACTAAGCCCATCCACTCCAAATTGTTTGTAAAGTAAACTTCCAGATTGTTTACACAAGGTTGCTACCTCTTCTCAGGAAGAACCTGCAATGTAATAACAGTACTGTGTTGAGGCGTCTGCAGCTTTGAGTCTCTTCTACAAAAAAATACAGTAACATGAACTGCTGAGGTTTTCAGACAGAATAACTGGATGAAAGGTGCTCTAGATCTACTGAATTCCATACAGCATGATATATGGATTTACCACACACAGAAGCTTAAAGCAGACTTTTATTGAAACACTAATCTAAAAATCTTTTACCTCAGTTTTGCTAGTCCTCAGACAAATATGACATTCTCAGCAATACTATATCTTGCTCCTAACTTTTTTTAAGTCCTGCCACTACAAAAGGAACAAAGGTTTTAGACCATTTGTGCAAACTATGGCATGGATCAATGTAATTTATACTTAAATAACTTCATAGTTTGCCTGTGTAAACAGCAACATTGTATGCAAACTACATTCTTCCTTTTCTACAGCCCCAGTCTTACTGTGGCTGTAGAAAACAGCCACAGTAACTGGCTGTCAAGTAACTGTCACAAAACAATTTCTAACAATTCTCAGCTTGCATCCTCACCCAACTGATAAAAATGCATGTCATTCAGTCTATAAAACCGACACACAAGGTAGCATTTGCTACACTTCCCCACATCATATTTCAGCAAGGATAAGAAACTCCACAGAAAAATATGGCACAGATCCAGATGCTACCATGCACAGCCATACTCCATTGTTCCAGATGTTCATGTGAGAATTTAAGGCATATAAGAAAAAAAGTGGTAAGTTTTTTTTTAACCTGCCAACAGAAGAGAACTCCTATGATGTCTTCACTGTCAGATACGGAAGGTTGTACCTGGTGTACTGCCTTTCATAGCTTTTCAACAGCTGCGAAGTTAGACAACATTTTCTGAGGCATCTGATAGCCTTTCATACCCTTCAGAAGGGTCGACAGTCAGGATTTAGCTTCAGTTGTGCAGTTCTCCTTCTGATTCCCAGGAAGATGTAGTTCCCCTTCTCCCTGACTGGGGAAGCTATCCACTGAAGTACAGCAAAGCTGTATACAAACTAGGAAATTAACAAACAAAAACTATACTTAGTGACAATCAAGACTGCATCAGGATATACACATCCAACCCAAACCTTAAAAGCACAGAAATAAAGAGGGGAAAGACTGCTGTACTCTATCACACTTTTCTGTTGCCTAAACACTGTTTGATAACACACTCTGAAAGGCTTTCACTTCCACCTTTGGAGGAGAAAAACACACAAATGCAAGCCTCCTGTGTTCTAAACATTAAATACACCCAATACAGCACTTACTTCCACACACTTCATGCATGTTAACTTACACTGCCTTAACACTAGAAGAAGTTTATTGTGTTTGAGTGCAAATCTAATACAGTGATAGACTGTCGTCTTATCTTTTAGAAATGGCAGTGAAAGCCTTTGGAGTATGCTATCAAACAGCAGTATAGACAGTATGAAAGTGGAAATGAATATAGGAGTCCTTCCCTCTAACTTTATATTTCTATGTTTACGAGTGGGTGGATGGAGGGAGTGTAATCCAATGCAATCTTAAGCACTAAATATAGCTTTGTCTGTTAATACTGGTTGGATAAAATACATATTAGATTTACTAAAATATTTCATTTTCTTCTTGTTGTTCAGAAGTGATTCTTAGATTGTGGTTTGAGCAATACCCAAAATTTCCATACTATTCTAACACATTTCTCTGGAGCAATAATCCATTCATAAGAATAGATTATAAGTCATAGTAATGTTGTTTACTATATAAAGCAGATATTCAACTTTTGGGAAAAGCTGAAATTACAGTTCTTTGCTTTCTGGCTAAAGATTGTGCTTGTTCAAAGTCAGTACAGCAGAAACTGGAATAGATCTGGCTACAGTTTGCCACCTGCCACAGGAACTATCAAACAATTCAGAAGTACTGGGGAAGATGGAAAAGAAATTTAGTTTAGAGCTGCATCTAGTATTTCCTTCTATAAGGAAGATCAGTTCTCAAGAAGTGATATTTTAATTCATGGCAAAGTGTAAAGTTATCTCTAAAATTAATTTCTACAAAGTAAGAATAAAGCAACTCATATGAAACAGGTTCATCCATGCACTTATTTCAATTATATGTTCTTCACAAACGGGAATTATCCCTTGTCCTCACTGCTACTGAAATCAGACAAGGATTCTACTCTCCATTTTAGCATAGGATCATCTTCAAGAATCTACCAATCAGCATATTCCAACTTGCAAAAAATTATTATGAAGTTTTTTCAGCTCAAACATTTACAATGATTGACACTGACTAGAAGTTACCTGAAGCAATATCTCAGAGAAGGAATTTTGTGAGAAAAGCAGACATAACAGCTCCAGATCTGATAGAAGGTTTCATTACACCTTAAACTTCACAAGACGAAATCTCCAGTCAAACTAGACTTAGAAGAATAAGAGCTTCTCCATAACCTTTTTATACATCTATGATGAGATTTTCAGCATATGATAATCACTGCAATTACACCTGTAGTTGGCTAATTTGTACTTCCAAGATAAAATGGCCTCAAGTATTCCAGTCAAGCATGCTGTAAATATTCTGAAACAGCCCTTATTTCAGTTTTCCTCTAATAGGCTTCCTCTTGAGGTTTCAGAAATGTAAGCCTCAGGATAGATATTGTTTGCAAAATGCCACAATCACCTGGATAGTTATCTTCCACCCACGATCAGAATAACTACTTATTTCCATTTCAGTTTTATGGCTGACAGCATGGACTATATTGGCTATTCCCCTGAGACAGCCACTGTTTCACTACATAGTATTTGTTCAAAGTTCAAAGGCAGTTCAATTTGTCTGAGCAGGGACAAATGAGTTATTAAAAAAGGAACTATCAATTTCACTTCTGAGAATTTTCTTCTCACATTTTTTTCACTGGAATTGGACGCAAATACTCAACATACAGCCTTCCGATATTGTCTGTGGCACAGTCTAAGGCAGGCTATGTTTAAATTTAAACACACTTTGTGATTTGCTTTACGCTACATTTTCTTCATGATGCAAGAGTTCTGAGAAAACAAGCTTCCGTCCACACAACCACAAATATTTTTCTATGCATAGCTAAGGGTTCTTCTCTACTTCCAAATGATCGCTTGCTAGAAATGAAGGTGCAATGTTAATGACTCATGGGATTACTTCTGCCATCTCTGCCTTCTCATCTCCCTTTCCCAATACAGAAAGCAATTCTATCCTGTTCTCAGTAGAAAGGGAACCAACCTAAACAGGCAATAAGACACCTTGAAACATTAAAAAAAAAAAACAACACTAAACACACAAAGATGTACCTAACAATTCTGTTTTGTTACATACAACAGATTTTGTCAGATGAAGATACTACATTATCACTTTATTGGAAAAAAAAAGTTGGGACAACAGCTTTAAAAGATAGAGTCTTACAAAAGCTGTAGTTAAGATTTCATCTAAATCCTTACTTTTGGATGTCTGAGCAGTATGTAACAGGTGTAAGACTGCTGTGCTAACAAGGACAGCCACTACTAATTGTTTCACTTGAACAGAATGATATGGAACAATGAATGTAGAAGGCACAGAAATTATTGAATTACTGAAATAGCTTCTAGGTGTACAAATTATCTCTAAAACTTGAAAATGAAAATAGAAATTCTGGCCTTTTGAAAAAATGCTCTATTAGAGAACTTTAATTTTTATTGATGCTTCAGATACTTGTTTCGTTACAGAATGACTTCTGTGAACACTTTCAATTCTCTCATGCTCTCTTTTCTCCATAGTTTGCAACATTCCTACATGATTATGCATTTTGAAGTACATCTCTGACAGACTGGAGAAAAACAAATGCATTGGGTTGGACTGTCCTGCAGAACTCCTAAGCTTAGAACTCTTAAGCCTCCCAGGAGAAGTAATAACCTAGACAGAAACAGAGAGGAGCAGCACTAAGGTAGTAACTGCATGGGTAAGGCATCCAAAAGATCCTTCACTGAAAGGAAAGCAAAGGCAAAAACATTCTTTCCCTACTACAAGTAGTACTGACTACCTTCCTTGCAGTGCTAACTGTACAACAATTAAAAGTGCTGATACAGGAAGAAGCAGTGACACAGTAGCTCACTTTATACAGTTCATCTTCTTCAACATTCACCAAGTCCACAGATGTAATACATAAGCAGTAGCACAGCCAGAATCAAAATTTTTGGAGCTCTACAAAGGTTAGATGACATGACCACATCCTTTTTGCTTCAAAGAAAAATAAATCACAAAAACATCATCTTCAGTATTAAGAGTAAAATTTTGACTAAGAAAGATAACTACAACTGCAGGTTTCTTTGCCCTTGGTTCCACCTCCATTTTAGTCACATCCTTGAATCAGATTAGGAAGACCTACAGTGTTTCACCTTCTGTAAGGTTTGTTTTCTCTCTTCCTTGCTTTCTAAGACGAGTATCTCTTAAGTTAGATAAATACCCACACTCAATTCTAAGCATCTTAGGAGAGACTGAAAAATCTTCCTGAAAAGTCTAACCCTTATTTTCTGTTCTTTCTGAGAGGTAGATGAAGATCTCATTTCAGTCAGCAGCTGAATGTGGTTTATGAAGAAGGTATAACTTAAGAGATCATAATGACCACCTGCAAAGCAGGTATTATACTTTTTTTTTTTAATAACAAATTTTCTACAGAAATAATTCTCTCACTTTGATGAAGAATCATAACACTTCGTGCTGACTCTGATGATACAGAATGAATAATCCAGAGATATCAGATATAAGACTAGTAAATGTTAGACTGCCTTACAAGGAAAAGTATACATTAGCAAAACTGACAAATGAAAAATATGGATAAGGCCGAGTCTTTGTGCACCCATGCATTACTTCTGCCTGGTAGCAGTAGTAAAGCAGTAGTAAAAATATTTCTGATGTCTAATATTTCTGCTATCCATTTCTATTCCTCAAAGACCGGATGTCTTCAGTTGGACTTTCATGTGTCCTCAGCAATCTCCGAGAGTGCTCTCTCAATCCCATGAGAAAAGCACTGAGAAATATAACTTCAGATAAATGAAATTTGATTTATGTGAGGAAATTTTCATTCAGCTTGACGGTAACCTTGTATATTTCACCAAAATCTGTTTTTGCAACATTTTTTAAAAAGGTACAAGGCATTGTCTTTGAAGCAAAAATTCCCTTAGTTTAGTTGTTCTTAAAATTCCAGATCTAGGGAAAACAAAATCTATTTAGCAGGTTTTTCTCATTTTATAGTTTAAGAAAAAAAATCTTCTCTTTAGAGAAGATGGTCTATTTTTTATACCACCTGGAACAAGTCCCAGGATTTCCTTGTGACAGCTGAACTTAAATCAAGACTGAGAACAAAGATGTGTGTTTTTGGAGGCTTACTGTAATGGCTAACACAAAGGACTGAAGCTTCCAATTGTTGTTCTGTACTATTACATAACATGAAGGATTACAAAATTTGGTATAATCAAGAAAGACAAATCACAAAGTAAAAAGTTTAATATCCTCAATTACTGTTCAGATTAATAAAAAGCAATTTCAGATTTGGCTAGTGCACAACTGCCAGTACTAAGAATTAAAAGAGTATATAAATAGGAATAAAAAGTATTTTACAATGTAGTTCATTCATATCTGGCAGTGAAGTCAAGAAACATCAGAAGTTATTTGATTCTCAAAGTTTGTAGCTTACTCATTTCTTAGTTGAGGATTTCAGTATCTTAGACACTGCCAAATGCATGAAGGGCTGTCTACCTCCCTCATAATCTGTTTAAATATTATAAAATTAAATATTCTAATTTGCATCTGAGAGATGATTGAAGCATTGAAATATTCCAATTTTGCACAGAGTCTACAACATGCTTCTGCTTCCAAGTAATTATATAACCACGTAACTGTGTACATACAACACAAAAAACAGTTTATCACCCAATGTCTTTTTCTAAGCCTGAAAGACAAAGATTACTGATCATAACTGTAAAGGTTACCTGGATCTGGGCTCTGTTTCCAGCTGTTATATTAGATATTGTCCAGCAGGCTTCCTTTTTGATAGATTCTTTAGGGCTGCTTAGCAAATGCAGTAAACTCTGCAGGGCAGAACAATTTAGAATTACCTGAACACAAAACAAAAAAGAAAAGCACATCTCAGAGGAAATATAGGATAGAGAATCACCTGGAGTAAGGAATACAAAGTCTTCAAAAGCTAGAAAGCATATGCCATCAAGATGTTCCTAAAATGCTTAAAAAAAATGAAAAATAAAAGAGAAATAAGTATAAATGTTTGTATTCCACATGGTAGCAAGCAAAAAAAAAAAAAAAAAGTAGTTTAAGTAACATCAGATTTAACAGAAACAAAATGGCTTGGGTTGGAAGAGAACTTAAAGATCACCTAGTGCCAATGGCCCTGCCATAGGCAGAGTTGCCACCTATTAGGTCCAGTTACCCAGAGTCTCATCCAACCTGGCCTTGAACACTTTCGGATGGGGCATCCACAGCTTCCCCAGGCAGTCTGCACTAGTGCCTCACCACCCTCTGAGTAAAGAATTTCCTCCAACATAGAATCATAGAATCACCAGGGTCAACTGTCCACCTACCAACAATATTTCCCCACTAAAGCACATCCCTTAGTACCACATCTAAACGTTTACTGAACACCTCCAGGAGTTACAGGTACAGTGACTCAACCATCTCCTTGGGCAGCTGGTTCCAGCACATGACCATTCTACTAGAGAATAAATTTTTCTTTATATCCAACCTGAACCTCCCCTGCTACAGGTTCATGCCATTTTCTCCACTCCTATGGCTAATGATGTGAGAGAAGAGGCCAACCCCCACCTCACTGCAGCCTCCTTTCAGGCAGTTATAGACAGTGACGAGGTCTCCCCTGAGCCTCCTCTAGATTGAACAATCCCAGTTCCCTCAGCCACTCCCCATAAGACCTGCGCTTTGTCGCCCTTCTCTGGATACACTCAAGGGTCTCCATGTCTTTCTTGCAGTGAGGGGCCTAGAACTGTTTATAAGTTCCTTTTAAGCATCAGAAGGCCACAACATGGTCTCCCCAGTGCCTCCTTCTTCAACCTTCCTCAGGTTGAACAAGTCCAGCTCCTCAGCTTTTTTTTTTCTTTTTTTTTTTTCCCCTCTCTCTCAGGATTTCTGATCTTAGAATCTGTGATCTCCCTTCTCTCTCTCCCCCTTTTTATCCCCCAACTCCTCCTTGGACTTTGGACATGTTCCTAAAATTTTTATTTAGCAAATTAAGCAGCGGGGGAAGGTTATGGTTCAGCATTTATCAGATATCTGTTGGGACAAGATTGGAATTTTTTTTCTTCGCATAAACTACTTACATTTTTGGCCAACTCCAAGCACTGGCAATTATTAATTGTTCGAAATGAAATACAATGGAAAATGTACTCTGAGAATGCATCACAGAAATAGAATATCCCACACCCAAAGGGATCTACAAGGATCAGTGAGTCCAACTCCCAGATATACACACATAGAACCCGCCAAAAAAATCAGACCATATGTCTGAAAACACTGTTCAAATGCTTCTTGAACTCTGGCAGCTTGGGGCCATGACCACTGCACTAAGGAGCATGTTTCAGTACCCAACCACCTTCTGGTGATGAACCATTTCCTGACATCCAAACTGAACTTCTCCTGTCCTTGTTTCATGCCATTCTCCTTGGTCCTGTCAACTGTCACCAGAGAGCAGAGATCAGTGCTGCCCCTTCGCTTCCCCTTGTGAGGAAGCTGTAAGGCTGTGTTGAGGTCTCCTCTTGGCCTCCTCTGCTCTGGGCTGATCGAACCACAGGACCTCAGCTGCTCCTCACACGTCGTCCCCTCCAGACCCTTCACTACCTTTGTAGCCCTCCTTTGGGCACTCTCCAATCGCTCTGTGTCCTTTTAGTACTGTGATGCTCAAAACTGCATACATAGTGCTCGAGGAGGGGAAACACCAGTTCAGTGTAGAGTGGGACAATCACTTCCTTCAACTGGCTAGCAATGCCTTGTTGATGCGCCCCTGGATATGGTTCATATTCCTGGCTGCTTGGGCACATTGTTGACTCACATTCAACTTGCTTTTGGCCAAGACTCTCAAACGCCTTTCAGCAGGGCTGCTGTCCAGCATCTCATCCCCCAGCCTACATACAGCCAGGGCTGCATCTTCCCAGGTGCAGAACCCAGCACTTGCTCGTGTTGAACTTCATGTTATTGGTGATTATCCACTCCTCTGATTTGTCTAGATCTCTCTGCAAGGCCTCTCCACCCACAATGGAGTCAACAGCCCTCATTAACTACTGTCAGCCAACTTGTCCAAAACACCTCCTTGTCCCACATCTAAGTCATTTATGAAAACATTAAAGAGAACTGGACCTAAAACTGAGGCCTGGGGAACCCTGCTAGTGACCAACCACCAGCTTGATGTAACACCATTTGTTATAATCCTTTGGGCCTAACTCATCAGCCAATTGCTCACCCACCACATTATATTTTTGTTTAGCCCTCTGGCAGATATTTTGTCCAAAGGATACTGTGAAAAACAGAATCAAAAGCTTTACTGAAATCCAAAAAGATAACATCAACTGGCCTCCCTTAGTCAACTAAATGGGTGACCGTCTCATAAAAGGATATTGTATTAGTTAAACAGGATCTTTCCCTCATGAACTTGTGGTGGTTCTGAACAGCAACCAAATTGTCCTTCAGGTGCTTTTCAGTAACACCCAGCACAGTTTTCTTCATAATTTTACAAAACGCTGAAGTGAGATTCACAGGCAGGCCTGTAATTACCAGGATCTTTTCTTGTCTTCCTTGAGAATGAGAACAACATTTGTCACCTTCCAGTCAACTGAGACCTTTCCAGATTTCCAAGATCACTAAAAATAGAGTGGTCTTAAAACAACACTGGTTAGTTGAGTACCCTGGGATTTGTTCCATTAGGTCCCACGTACTTTATATGCACCTCGTGGAGTAGCAAATCCTGCACAAGTCAGAGGTTGGCTGAGAGATGATCCTTATTCATAGTCACAGTCCTCCAACTCAGAGCACCTGAGGTGCCACAGTCCATCGTCAGATAGAGGCAAAGTACTCATTAGATGTCTGCTCTGTCTGGGCACCTTACAATCAAGGACATTCTCTTCAGGTTATGAACCAATGTTACCTCTGGTCCTCCTTTTATTATTAACACGTTAAAAAAAATATATACATTGCCCCCTACAATATTGGTCAGCTTCAACTCTAGTTCTGCTTCAATCACACAGATTTTCTCCCTACAAAGGCAAACAGTATCCCTGAAGTATTCCCATGTTGCTTGACGTTGCCTCCAGCAGCCATATAGATTATTTTTCTTGTCCAAGCTCTAAAAGATTACTTCTGTTCAGCCAAGCCAGACCTCTGCCCCATCTGCTTCACTTCCAGCATTTTAGGATTGCCAGTTTCTGTGTTCTCAGGAGATGGTACTCAAGAAGTAACCAGCACCAACAGATGTATGCATTTGGAAGGCAGTTTCCTAGGGGACTTCACTAACTTGTTCCCTGAGCAGCCTGAAATCTGCTCTACCCATATCAAAAGTTGAGGTTTTGGAGGCAGTTCTCCTATCACCAAAGATTTTCAATTCAACTACTTAATGGTCACTATGGCCAAGAAGGCCACCATCCACCACTTCACCCATAAACCTTCTCTATTCACAAGCAACAGATCTAAGAGGGCGCACAAACCTTTTTCAGGCAGCTGGCTTGTATGCTGTTCACATATTCAGAAACGCGTTTACTGTCAAAGCTGGGCTCTTCTTTCCCCCTCACAGATCTGTTTACAGATTTTTGTGCATCTTCTGAATCCCTCTTTGTCATGTGCCATAGTCTGCATGCAAGACTTTAATTTTCCTTAGAATTTTAGGAACACTTTGGTATGCTTCTCTAAAAAAAAAAAAAACAACAAAACCAAACACCTGCATGCAGCTAAGCAGTTGAAACATTTTCTTGAAGTGAAATCAAAGATTTCACTTTATCAAATGTAGTATTAATTATCTGCCTTACACATGACTGAGTGATCCCCTACGGTTTTATTCATTATAAAAAAAAAAAAAAAAAAAAAAAACAAAAAACAAACAACAGCTATTTTATCAAAACGTATCTCAACCACTCTTACAACCAATCTCAAAAACAAGTCACTAAGAAAAACAGAAGAATGCCTATACAATGCAACTATACACTATGAATAAATAATATCTTAGCCTCCTCCCCCAGCACTAGTTACAAAATACTCAAACAGTATCTTGCTGTTACTAAGTCATCTTCCTGCCTCATCTTGAATGTTGCAGTTCTGTGGCAGTAAATCAACATGCTAATATAAACCAATAATTATTGAACAAGCCTCACAGTTAGGAGCTTGGATTTTAACTTTAGCATAATCTATGTGGAAGAAGTACTCTGCATGGGAAATCAGATACTACAAGTGACTTGTTTTTTTCCCAGCTCTTCATGCCATCTAAAATCCCCAGCTGCTACCACCATCACCTGGAAGCCCATCTCAACACTTCCACCACACACACCTTCCCATTTTCAGCTACCACCGCTTCCTGATCCTATTTCTGCTATCAGCTTTAATAACAGTTAACAGCCCACAACAGCAAGCCTGCCTGAGCCTGTGACTTCAATCCAATTTGCTTGTGCATTTGTCTGACAGCTCCACATCACACAGGCATACTTTTCATGCGTTTTAGTTTGTGAACGAGAGGTGGAGGCCAAAAGTCAGCAAAGCTTCAAAAGCAGCAGCCTACTCTGTACTTTTCTTTCACATATTACCAGATCCTGACAAAAGGATGTCAGAATACACAAAGAAATGGGAAAAGTTTAACAAAAGGTACAACAGATAAAGCTCATAATAGGATTTTCTGCTCTGCATGCAAAAAAGGTTGCCATCAGTTAGTGGGCACAAATGACACGTATACACGGCATGGACTCTCTGTTCCCACTGATTACAAAAATTAATAGGAGCTGCCACTTCTTGAAAAGTCTAAAAATCAATAGGTTGACAACTTTGTACCTCAAAGGCAACAGTTTAATTCTAACACAACGGTGTGAGCCACTGCCTCTTACTTCTCCAAGCACACGCCCAGACTCTGTCACATATCATCCAAGATCTCACCACACCGTATTGGTACATTCGTCACAGACTGTCACAGGCACCAAATGCAACAGGCTGTCAACAGCCCCACCACATTACATCATTCAGTATAAAATTCAGCCTAAGAGGAAGACTGCTTTAAACAAAACAGAAAAGAAAAATTCAAAGAGTATTGCACAGCTATAAAAGAACTCCAGACACAGTAATACAAGAACAAATAGCAGTTCAGGAAAAGAAACTACTACATAAAGCAATTAATGTCAATCTTTCATTTTCAAACTTAAAAAGGAACAGGAAGAGGTACTCGTGAATAGGTTACACTGATATTAACAGAAAGGTGAACCAGGGTACAACACACAAAGAAGTGAATCCATACCTGGGTCTGGATATCATCTCCTGTGACAATGTTCCCAACAGCTCGTAAGGCAGGAGATACTACTTTATAGTCATTATGCCTAAAATTACCAAGATTGAGATGTTAACCATCTTGAATCATCTTCATCTTCACATCCTCAAGGAAGAAACATTTGCCAGGGAAAAATTTGCCAGCTAAGTCTGTCTTAGCTACAATTATCTGAATCAAATGACTTTTGATTTTAAACTAATGGCAACTCGTTCTAGAGTTCATAACTTTTCGGCCGTAAGACACCATTCAGCAACATAAAAACTGAAATCTGAGATTACTATAATACAAGTACCTCACAGTACAGGCATCTGAGGGAGCAGAAAAATCAACTTCAGGGATGGAACATGCTTAACATCGCATGCACAAAGGCAGATAATGAGACAGAAGAACACTGGCAGAAGCGCTGCGTTTAACTCAAGCGCATCTTCATCCAGCCATTTAATCATATTCTATCATTAAATGTATTTGCACTGTATCTCCCCATTATCGTTATTAAAATCAGAACAGGAAAAGTAAATAATTTTTTCAGAAATTAAAGTACTTAATAAAAAGGTACTTTAAGTAATACATTCTATTCAATAATTCAGTAGACTGCTTTTTCGAATAGCCTCTTGAATTTACATCACAGAAAACTATTGTTTCTTGTTCTTCTGTAAATTTTACAAAAAAGCAGTTGCTACATGTTGAAAAAACAGCACAGCAAAAGCTCCACTGTTCCTGTTACTTATGACAACAGAAAGGACTGATTAAAGACAGGCTAAGTTATAAAATTCAGGTTGTTTTGGTTTTTAGAAAATAAACAGATTAAGATATATCTAATTGTGCCTTCTGATGCAAGAACCATGATTTTAGGGAAAGGATTGAGTAATACATTTATTCAGAACAAACTTCTTACATCAGCAATTCCACAAGTCTTCTGCAGACTCCTGCATCAATCACAGCCTGGATTTTATCATTGGGGCCATCAGACAAATAGGACAAAGCCCAGCAGGCATCAGCTAATACATCTGTATCATTGACAAAGAGCAGCCAGGAGAGCACACTAAGACAAGGTGAAACCTGTAAAACAATAAAAGAGATGCACAAATTATGCAATCAAAAGGACTGGAATACTTATTAACACGTCAGTTAATTCTGTATGCATCATTACAAAACCACACACTAGCATCACAATCCTGAATACCTGGCAAACTTCGAACTTCAGCAGCACTTTGGTGTAGGGCTGCAACTACACTAGCAGAGAGGAACAAACCAGCAGAAAAGCAACTAGAATTCTTCAGCCTCTACAGTATCATCCATGCCTGGAAACTTAACCTCAAACATCTCCATCAAGACATGCCTTTTTTCACTAAAGAAGCCAAGATGCACAGTTTTGCTCTACTGCATAATGACATTAACAAATAACCAGGAGGCAGCAATATCAAAACAATGGTTGTGAATGTCTGCCAAAAGAACAAGAAAACATTCAGAAGCTTAATTTGCAATAAGCACACCATTGTTTCAGAGAAATTCAGAAACATTTCTGCTATGTAGTTTAAGCTTAACCATTCTTATTTCTTACTTGGAAATCTACACCTCACAACACATTTCCTTAGAATGAACACATTTCTTACCTTGGCAAAATCTGGAGGAGGATTTTTCCCTCTGCAGAGATTGGATAGAGCCCATACAGCATTTCGGGTCATAGTGATACGATTCTGTTTTGAAAGTAATCTAAAACAAACAAATCCCAAGCTTCACTAATGCATATTCAAAGCCAGGCAACTTAGTATGGCTAGCTGTGATTCACACACATGAACTCAGGCCTACATTTTAACCAATATCAGGGGAAAACATGCTAAAATCTTTTTTTTTTTTAAAAAAAAAAAAAAACAAAAAAAAACAGATCCTGAGGAAAATTACATTTGACAGATAGATACTAACGTTCACATTAAATGTGTTAAACCTGGTATCCCAACAATAACCACCACACTATAAGAACATTCATTTAACTTTCTAGAGACTATTGTGGTAGATTCGCATGTCAATTCTCAGCCCATCAACACGTTTTTCTGTGTCAAGCTTTCTAGAACAGAATTTAACCTCAGAAAACACATATAATCACATTTAAGGCTGCCCAAATATTTACAGCAGTCTGGCAGCAACCACAGCCCAGACTTACTGTGCACTGTTGTTCATCCCTGCAGGAGTTTTGACCACTGTGTTCATGTAGGAAGAAATCTCTATAAACCATCCCAAACTGGTCTCTTTCTGAAGTTCTTACAAGATCATACACACACCATATAAAGGATTCAGCTTCTGCTGCATGAGACTCAGGAAGGACAATGGTGTAACATACTCTATCTTCATGATATCTGTGTGCTACAGGACTACCACATCAGCCAAAGCTGCTTCAGTCTCTGGTACATTGTGCATTTCTTTATCTGAGATTAATCCTAGCACTGCTGCTCGTTAGTTAAGTCAAATACAGCATGAAGTCTATATATAGAGCACTTTCCAGACAGCTTAGAAAAAAACTAGCGAAGAACTCCACAGAAAATTCTGATTATCAGAACATTCTCTCATGATGCCTTGGTCAAATACTGCAACAAGTTGTCCAGAGTGGTTATGAAATCTACCTCTGATGTTCCAGATTTGACTATGTAAGTGGCTGAGCAATTCTGATCACATCTGCTATGAAAAGAGGGTTTGACTAGACAACCTCCAGAGGTCGCTTCCAACTTAAATTACTCTACAATTCTCATTAGTTCCAGGCATCCACCCACTGTGTAGAACAAAATAGCTCCAGCTTAGCTGGTCTTAACACAATTCCTTTTTAGTCAGTTACAAAATAAGCCCTCAAAAATAAGCCTAATTAGTCCACAAAAATAAATAATTATTTTTCAGGGCAAAACAAACTTCAGTCTTATCAGACACTTGAGTAATATTCTGAAGAACGTATTAAAACAGACTTACTGCAGTAAGGGAGGCAAAATATTACAGTCCAGTACATAGTCTCTGCACATTGTGCTGTCTCCAGCAATGTTGCCAAGAGCCCATACTGCCTGCAATAAAAACAGAACGGTAATTGTTTTCATTTGCACAATTCAAACCATTCAGTATCTGAATTAAAAATGGGAAATCATCTCTGTTCTCACCGTTTTATCCTGGACAGTATACAAAAGGGGAATGCATTCTGGTTAAGAGTTGCAAATATACACCCAAGCTCATTACAAGATTCAGGAATATTTACACAGGTCTAAGTACCCAAGCAGTCAACAGGTATGTCACCAAAGACTGCAGGCAGACAACCTTACTCTGTCCACAACAAGAGCTCCTCACCTTAGGCTCAGTACTGCACTAATTGTACACGCCCCCTGGTTCAAGTCCAGATGGTTCATAGCACACGTCAAGCAGGTTTGTATCTACCCAAAAATGTGTACAACAGCTCATATTAGTATTTCCTAGGAAGCCATAAAAGCATGCATTGTTTACACAGTCACATTAAGAACACTGATAACAAGAAAGATGGAAAAGATGATTTAAATACAAAATAAAGCAATATTCAAAATAAAAAAGTTCAGATGGACATTGTTATATTTTTTTAAAGAAAGCAAAACAGAACCAGTATTGACTATTTAAATATATGCACGACAAAATGCAAGGACAACTGTTTACTCCCCTGGGCGTCACTGTTACCTTAACCCTTCATTTTGAGGAATAAGGTACAAAATAACAAAAGATAATTGAAAAAGCATGAAAACTATCTTCCATAATACCAGAATGAAAGAGTTCATTAACTTTGATTAAAACACTGAGGTCAAAAGTTTTTTATTTTATATCACTTTCTATTAGTGTGAGAACTGAGAAGAATTTAAAGAAAACAGTCTGTACCAGCAGAATGTTTCACAGACGTTTTATCATACAAGAAAGAGTATGAAACTGACATTTTGTATTTATTTTAAGTTAGCAGAAGGCTAAATGACAAATGAAATAGAATACCTTCTTATTAGGTAAGAACTACACAAAAAAAATCTACGCAACCACTGGACCTATCATGAATAGAAGCAGTTAAAAGTTTCTAAAAAGCAGCAAGAGATGCTACTCCACAATATAAGGGACTTCTCTTCCAGCCTCTGAAGTCCTCCCCCCAGTCACTCTAAAGGTCCAAAAGATATTCTCTAAAAAATAAAAATTAATACAGCTAAAACAAAATAAAATGTATTAAAAAAATCCATCCATACATATTTACCTACATTTTGTTATCTGCTAGGTACACAAAGGACTTACCCACAATAGTACAATAGATAGATCTATCAACTGATAGATCATAAGTCCCTAACCTACAAGTTGTTAGAGACTAGGAGACTACTCTTGGGAAGGATTTGCTTTGTCCTCCTACTATTTTCCAGCTTTTGCTGTCAGCCACGGTTAGAATACCAAATCATACTCAGCTTTGCAGTGACCTTCGTCACTACTAATTCTGTGTATCCCTCTAAAGCTAATCAAGACAGCTTATCTTCCATTCCAATTGTTACTGTTTTACAACTGCTCCAACAACAGTATGTCTAAAATTGAAGTGTAATTTGGGTCTGGCAGCCTCATAGATTCAACATGCAAAAGACAGCTAAAAGAAAAAAATTAACTTAAGAGACAGAACATACACCAGCTCCCCTAAAAATTCATTTGTATTAAAACTCTAAGAAGACATGCCTGTTGCTCACTGCAATGCTTTTACTTGTGCAGTAATGGGACTCCTTAGGCACAAATAAAAAATTTCATCTGGCCCTATCTATACAAATTTGTGAATCTTGGTAAAAACACTGATGGGAAGAAAAATGGCATCCTTGTGCAAAGATACAACCTCCTTTTCTGGACAGTCTTACACCTACTGGACAGCCTACCTTGGAGGCTGTATCTCACTGTTTGTGACCTTGCTTCTGTCATAGTAATACTTGATTTAATTTAACAACAGCAATAATCACTTAATACAAATGTCTATTCTGACCTTGAAAGACAGACTGGTTTTCTAACTGCAAAGCTCTCAATCTCTCATTAGAAAGTCAAGCCAGAGAAGTCATAAAGCATCTTTGCTGTTTTCCTACTCTTGATTTTGAAGGGCAGAGAAGTCTCAGTAACCTGATATCACAAGAGCTGGTAACAATGTTGGAAGAAATTCTAACATTAATGACTGGTAGCTCTGGATCATACAAAAGATGAAAAGAAATTGAAGTATCTTTAGCCAAAGTACGCAGAGTTACGTTCAAATATTTTTCCTCGAGGAATCGTCTCAAGTTTTCTGATAAATAAGGGACATAAGTCAAGTTCATTCAAACTTCTCTCAGCAGACACTGCCGTAAGCACAAATCTTTCTTGTGGTTTCCACAAAAACACAAGAACAGTGACAAGTGTCTTCAGCTTTTTTGTCTGAATAATATTCAGTAATTTTCATTGATGACTTTCATGCAGTCATCAAGATGCAAAAATCTTGCTTACCTTTACATTATGGTTTCATTCCATACATCCCAAATCATAGAATTGCTCAAGTTGGAAAAGACCTTAAAAATCATCAAGTCCAACCATGACCTAACCATACTATTGTAACTCTAACAAGTCACCCCTAAATCAGGTTCCTGAGTACCACATCCAAACAGGTTTTAAACACATCCAAGGATGGTGACTCAACCACCTCCCTGGGGAGCCTATTCCAGTGCTTAAAAACCCCTTCTGTAAAGAAGTGTTTCCTGATATTCAACCTAAACCTACCGTGGAACAACTTGAGGCCATTTCCCCTCATCCTGTCACCTGTTACAAGTGAGAAGAGACCAGCTCCACTCTCACTGCAATTACCTTTCAGATATCGCAAGAGAGCAATAAAGTCTCCCCTCAGCCTCCTCTTCCCCAGACTAATCAGCCCCAGTTCCTTCAGTCACTCCTCGTAGACGTATTCTCCAAGCCCTTCAACAAGCCTTGTGAAGGAAATGTTTGTTTGTTTTTTTAATCATCTTTTCTAGACAGCTGCCAAGGTTAAAGGATATTTAATTCCAGTAATCTCAAGAGTTTACTATTTAAAATATCAAGCTTGAAAAAATAAAATTAATTTCAAGACTTTATTCGCACCAAAACTCAGAGATGAAAAGAACCTGTGACTTTAAAGTCTGTACATTTTTAACCAATATCAAGTTGTGTATAAACTGAAAATACGAATGGTGCACGTCAACTGACAAATGCATATTTTTACAGAGCTGCATAAATATCCATATACTGCTCATGATCAAACACGGATTTTTGCAAGTCTCCGCTTTATTTTACCTGTTATTAAACATGCAATACTGGACAATGTTAATAGTCAATAACAGTACAACGCTGGTTTTATAGAGTAAAGTTGATCTATGCGATGCATTCTGTGAATAATACATATGCTTTCTGACAACTCTTCCACTTTCCTCTGGACTTTGATAGCTCTCAGCCATGCATTTAAGTATTTGAATATTTAAATCAAGCCACAAGCCAACCACCAATAGCGCATTAAGTTTGTACCTCTCTGTGGAACAGGAACATTCTGAATTAAGAACACTTTTTCCACTTTCAGATGTTGACTTGCGAAACACATCTAACGCTGGGATGAAGGCAGCGAAAATGAGCCCTGCATACATACACAACTGGACTAATGGACACAAGGAGAGATACCTGAGGGAGGAATCCCTAGAGATGATTTCTATTACATTCCAACACAGAAGAAACCTTCCTTTCAGCAGCCAGGTTGTTTCAACTTTATTACTAGCATCTCTTCCAACCAGACAGAGAAAGTATTTCATACTCGTGCCTCGACTGGATTGCTGGTTTTTCTTGCCCTCATTTTGAATATAAGGACCTAAGTTAGCAGGGGGTGCTGATGTATAAGCCAGAGAACAGACAGTAGATACCAGATTCATAGGTCACTTCTGTTAAATAAATGCTGTTTTAACAGCAATACGGATAGGAATGGAAGAACACTGAGGGAAAAACAAATTGTTGCTTTAGCTGGAATTAATAATCTGAAACCATTTCACATCTTTTTTTCCAACCGAAGAAACTGAAATTGTGACAGAGGCTACATCTCCATTATTTATAAAAAATTACTGATTGCATCTCTGTTCTCCCTGCTTTTCTCAACTTCTGTTATACAGTTGGAAACATCTGCAAAGGAGAGAACAGGGCAACAAATGTATGTTCCTGCCACCGGTTACCCTTCAGATACAGAGCAGAATGACACATCTGTAACTGTGAGATATGCAGGTTTTAAACCTGGAACGTAGAAATTTGCCCAGTTTTTGAAGGAAATTCTATGCATATCCAGAAAATTCAAAATAACACCCAGGTTTTAAATACTGCAACGCACACAGGATAGAACTGCAGCTAAAACATTGCTGAAGCTAAATCAATGTTAAGCATTTCTACAGAGCCTTGATGAAATCCCTCAATATAAATAATTTCAGGATGGCTTTTCTAATTTTCAAGATGCGTTTTGGAAGGAAAGAAATGGGAGAAGCAGAAGAAGGTTAGAACATTTGCCATTAACTAAATTTAAATAACTGTATAACAGGAGTTGAGAAAAGCAGGGAGGTACAAAGATGTAATCAATAATTTTTCATAAATAATGGAGATGCAGCCTCTGTCACAATTTCAATTTCTTCAGTGGGGGAAAAAAAAAAAAAAAAAAAAAAAGATGTGACGTAGTTTCAGATCACTAATTACCAGGAAATACCTGAGAAAGGCTGATATACAAAGCAAAAGCCGGTAGAAATGGCTGACACACCAGAAGACTGTGCTGCCATTGAGCAAGACCTGGACAGCCTGGAGCGTTGGGCAGAGAGGAACCACATGAGGTTTAACAGTCTTGCATCTACCACACGTACCAGTACAGGCTGGGGGATGACCCACTGGAGAGGAGCTCCGCAGAGAGGGACCCAGGTGTCCTGGCGAACAACAGGTTAGCAATGAGCCAGAAGTGTGCCCTGATGGCCAAGAAGGCCAATGGCATCCCGGGGGTGTATCAATAAAAAGCGTGAGCAGAAGTCAAGGGAGGTGATCCTCCCTTTCTATTCTGCTCTGGTCAGGCCTCACCTGAAGTACTGTATCCAGTTCTGGGCTCCCCAGTACAAAAAAGACAGGGATCTCCTGGAAACAGTCCAACAGAGGGTCACAAAGACGATAAAGGGCCTGGAGCACCACTCCTGTGAGGAAAGGCTGAGCTACCTGGGTTTGTTCAGCCCTGAGAAAAGATGACTGAGAGGGGATCTGATCAACATCCATAAATACCTAAGGTACAAACGGATAAAGCCAGACTCTTTGCAGCAGTACATGGTGATAAGACAAGGAGAAATGGCTACAAACTGAAGCACAGGAATTTCTGCACAAACATGCTAAGAACTTCTTCACAAGGAGGATGATAGAGCACTGGAACAGGCTGCCCAGAGAGGTTGTGGATTCTTCTTTTCTGGAAATTAAATTCAAGACCTGCATGGATGCCTACATGCGCAGCCTGCAGTAAGGAGCCTGCTTTGGCAGGAGGCTTGAATTTGATGATCTCTAGAGGTCCCTCTCAACCCCTACAATCGTGTGCTTGTGTGAAAATGAAATAACAGAGTTAAGGGATAGGATAATTAAATTTCAGCCACCTTAGCTTAATGGGAAACATCTTGGAAAAAGACAAGATACAATTTCATTAAAATACACATTGTTCACTGAAGATCCTCAGTCTCCTATAAAATCAACCATTTAGTACCACACCAAAAACTTGCATATGCAAAAAAAAGTCCAATACATGAGATTAAGACAGGCTCAAAAGAAAGAACTGCTGAAAGAATCGTAACGTAAACTGGTACGTGTTCCTGAGTCACTAATATGAGAAGATGTAAATAAAAAGTTCAAGACAAAAACTGTATAATGATTAGCCAGTATGTCAAATTGAAATAAAAAATATGAATGATTTTCAATTTATACTATGATACATACTCAAAATTATATTACTACTTACATTTCCTTCCACAAAATTACTACACCACTTAGCACAAAGAATGATCTACATAACACAACCTTCAATGTTACTTTTTCTCTTTTATACTGTGTTATGTTAGTATGGCTAGATTCTGGTCTACGTGCTCTACACACGATTTTCTGTATTTTCTTGGGAAGTTACAATTAGTTGCAACTGCAGAAAGAGTTGCTTGCAAAATAATAATCTTCACAGTACTACTGTGAAAAGATACAAATCACCAGAGCAGAATTACAGAGGAGAAAACTTATGGCTAAAATGATTAAATATCCTGCAATAGCCGAATTTCAGCCCGATACCTAGAATCGAATGTTCTATGCATTGCCTACAACTACAAAACAAAATGCAATAACTCACATTGAGAATTCAAAAAAAAAAAAAAAAAAAAAAAAAAAAAAAAAAAAAGAACAAGTACCCCACTTACAAAAAACAGATCAATTGTTCAGCATTAGACACTAAGAGTAGATGCTTTTACCTCAAGCCTACAACAACCTTACTATGAATCTCTGCTTTTCTTCCATTCACTACAATATGAACCAATTTCAACAAACAGTGCCCTAGTGTGATAATTAAAAGCCTCCTTCACTACCCACTGATTTCTAACTAGGGCAACAATATGCTGAACAAGATGAGAGTCATTTGGATAAATACTCTAATTGTGTACTTAAAGCAACCCTGTAATATAGAAGTACAACAGCTAACATTTATGTGCTTAATGCCTTGTATTTTTATTAGATATTACAGTGAAGCATTCATTTTTCTTCTTAAAAGCTGCCAGAAAAAAAAAAAAAAGTCAAGCTGGCCTGCATTAAACTCAAAGTGAGCAGTCAGAAAGTTGCAACTTCTACACCTGCAGCACATTACGTAAAGGCATAGGTAACATCACTGTGGTATACTTTCCTACATCAGCACAGCGTACCACAAAACAATTTGCCACTGGTAGTTACAGACTTGCTGATAACAGACAAATCATGGACGCACTGTACATAAATGCATTTTCCAGTGGCTACAATCAAGTCTACATGACTCCAGTATGAATTTAACCTGCCAGCAGTTTACTGGAGGCGAAGTAGGTAGAATACAGATAAACTGCTTATCTGTGATCCCTTAGCTCCTCTGTTAATTCACACACAGGGGCTGAAAGCAGCACAACTCCTTCTAAAGCAGGCTGGTTCTTCCTGCACGCTTCTCTGAACGTTACCAAGAATGACCTAACAACCTAATAAAAAAGTTCACTCTTACATGGGAGGTCGTGGGCCGTAAAATAATGCAGTATCCCTTACTACCTTTAGTGTATCAATTATTCTTCAGGAATAGCACCTCAGAAGTGGTAGATGAATTCAGAAGATAATGCCGTCAATTTCAACCTCCTCCAAAAAACAAACTCTAAAAAGCAGTTTGGACATCATATAGCTGAGTCTGGATAGATTTTTACATGGGCACAACATGGCATCTCTCTGCTATTTTGGCAAGATTAATATCACATTTCTAATTTCTTCAAAAATAGACTCATTTCCTCAAATTAAAAAAAAAAAACTTATATCCTTGAATACAATTTTCTGAGGCACCCAAACTCTCTTAAAAAGCCTTTGCCAAAATTATTCAGCATGAGAGAGGCCACTGAAAATGGAAAGTTGCAGAGTGGAAAGCTACAAGCAACTTGAAGAAATGTGTCTTTCTTGTGGAAAACATTACACAGTCTTAAATACGAGTGGCTCATTCTGTGCCAGCTATAAGATAGAAAGGTAAGTTACATAAAGCGATTCAATGCTTATGAGTTGGACTCCTCCAATCATGCATCTCAATACAGCCAAATGCAAGGTCAGACATCTAGGAGAGAGAATAGAGGGCACACTTACAGGATGGAGAACTGAGCCCTGGAAGTCAGTGACTCTGAAAAGAACAACGAATCATATTGGATAATCAGCTTAACTTGAGCTCTCAGCAAGCTTCTGTGGAAAAGAGTCCTCAAAGACATCTTGAATATTCACGCAGGGAAGAATCAAGTAGAAATGAGTATTGGGTACTACCTCTACAAACAGCATTGCTGGAACAGTACTACTTGTTATTTCACCATCACAAAAAGTTATTGAAACAAGGAAGTGTTCAGAAAAGGATCACCAAGAAAATTTAAAAAGCTAAAGAAATATCCATAGTAAGAATTCAGAGTTCAATTTCATTTGCTCAAGAAAAGATTAAGCTATCATCTGTAATTAACTATAAGAAAAAAAAAAAAACAGAGAGCTTACTGAGTAGACAGTGATACAAGAGCTAACACCTGGGCCCAAAGCTAATCAAATTTGTACAGTAGAGGTACACACATTAAAGTTAGGATTATGCATTATAGAAAACGTGTTCATTAGCATGATTGATATTTTACCATCCTAAGTCTTCAAAGCAAGAACTAGACATCTTTTTAAAATACAACCTTGTTCAAACACAACTTACTGCCCTGGAGCAGAAATTACTGAGTCTGTATGAATCTAATGTTTGGTCTGTGCTTTACACTGATCTCTCTGGGCCTTAAAGAACATTAATTTGCTTGTAAGAAAGGCATTCAAGTAGAATTTATGGAAAGAGATTGCATTTATTCTTCTACTTCATCATTTATAAAAACCAGCTTAGTAAGTAACATTACTTCCCTATCTCTTTAATTCAACATCCAACAGACCTACAGCACTCTTGATTGCACTTTTGCTTCCTTTTCCTTTATTTTTAGAGAACAACCTATAATTTCCACTCATGCTTTATCTTCAGGAGAATCCTGAAGACTTTCCACCTCTGAAGTATTTTTTTAAAACAAGGTTTCTTGAATTCCTCAGCAAGCAGATAAGTATTAATTCACTAAAGATCAAAACACACTACCACCTTGGCTGTGGTTAAATGTATCATTTCCAGAACAACTGAAAAACAGTGCTTGCGCCCTAACACATACTAGGGAGAAAAAGACTTATGCTGAACTGCCAGACACTACACTTCCTCTAAAGTCACAAGACTTTCTTATAGAATAGCCTTGTACTTTTACGTTAAAAAAAACAAAACCACCATTCTTAATCTTTACCTGTTCCTGTACATCTTCAAACTCTGAACTAAGCAGCTCTATGAAGATGGGAACAGCTCCTGCTTGGATCACTATTCGAGTCTGAAGGGAATTCCCCGAGGCAATATTTGTCAGCACCCAGGCGGCTTCAAACTGGAAAACAAAATACAGAAGAACGTTCACCCGGAGCCTCCTGTGTCAGATGAACAACAATGACAATGTGTAGCAAAAATAGAAAGAACTGGTGAAGATAAAGCTACTAATTAAAACAGAAGCTGAAAAGCAAGAATCAGAGTTAAAAGTTATCATGACGACATGAACTCAGAATTTGCAAGAATTCCATACAGCAGCAACATCAGATTCACTGTGGCTTCTCAAATCCTACTTTTGTCACACATTTACTATCTTTTGTCTGTTAAAGAAAAAAAATTAAAAGGCTCATCTTAGTATTTGTTTGGTGTATTTGTTTGGTGTATTTGTTTGGTGTATTCTTGAAGATTTTTGTCATCATCACGTAAGAAAAATTTAGTTATTTGTGTATGGTTTAAATGATCATAGGGAAGAGTGCAGCTTTTTTAAACCTGAAAATAACTTAAGAAAAAAAATGTGTACAGGGCAATTCCAGACAAATATGGCCTTCCTGTCACTGATATTGGTAATTCATTTTTTACTGGATATTCCGCTAACAGTACAGTAGAAACCTACAGAATAAAGACATACAATTTCATGTTCACCAACACAGAGTAGCTTCCACATTCAATCCATCATACAAGTAATATCTGGCCTAAAAAAATACTTCAGCATTTCCTGAATGAGTTGAAAGTGCCTTCCTTCTACAACTAGTCTGAAGTCAGGAATACCTAGAATGGAATGTCCAAAATTTTTGCTCGTGCCACATCACTGGCAACAAGGACAGAATAAAAGAACATTAAACTGGACAGAATAAAAACCTACACCTACAGACTGTGAGCTGAGAAAACAATGAGATAGATTTGGTAAGAAGAAGAACAATATATTTTCACAGCTTTGTTATAAACTCTTTAGGTCAAACCTACACATTTCAACATAAAGTGCTTCTTTGATGTTCTTTGCACATTAAAAAAAAGTCAACAAAATGTATGTTGTACCAGTAAGGGCAGAAGAATTTGACTCAGCTTACAATTACTTTTAAAATATTTTAAACTAGAGAAATATCCTCCAGCTTCATTTTCCCTTCCCCATCTTCTGTCCACGAAACATTATTCAATTTTTCCCTTTATCTTTGGCTTCCATGCTAGAAATCCTGTAAATAATAAAGGCATCCTTTTTTTTTTTTTTTTTTTTTTTTTTTTTTTAATAGAGATTGCTTAAAACCTTTCCATTGGAGTTCAGAACCAATAACCTGGCTAAATGTGAAACACGCTCTTAGTTACTGTGCATATATTGCTCAAAAGCAGCTAGCAGATGTTTGCAATTTTACTGGCCTCAATTTGGAAAGTAATTCCAATAAATTCTGTCTTTTCCCTATGACAAGGAAAAAGTCCTTTTTGCATATTTCCATGCACCAAATTTTGGATTTCATAAGGCATTAACAAATTATTGGATTACATACTATGAAGGAACATCAATTCAGCTTATATATCACATTTAGCCATTAGTTATTAACATTTTCTTTCATTATGAGATCAGCTTCCTTCCACCTTATACTAGCCCAGAAGAAAGATCGCCAGGCAAAGGATAGCTAGCGAAAAGATTTAATTCTAAGGACTAAGTCCAAAACACATTAATTAAAATTGTAACAGATATGATTTAGTTCTTCCAACCAAAGCAAGCAAGTTTCAGGGTTTCTCTGTTTTGTTTTTAATGTTCAACTCTAATTCTAAACCTCTTAGAATTTAATCAAAACTTTATGTCATAATTCTGAACACTGAAAACAGTCTTCAGTTAGTACAAAAGTTGACAAACAGTACAGTTAAGTTTAATAGCTTTTCATCCTTTAAGGCCACCTTTCAAACTGTTACACAGAGAAGTCCAGGTAAACATCCCATGTTAAACATCACCCAACAAAACTCAGATTTCTCTCATTCTCTCCTAGGCCCAGCATTTGAGCTTATTATTAAGAAGCCTTCATAGTAAAATAGGTAAAATAAGTGTCTTATAAAGAAAAAGAAAAGCACAGCTCACAAAAAAAAAAAAAAAGTGATGACATTTTCTGCTTTATTTGCATCACCAAAAGCTTCATAATACAGAAAGCTAGATACATTTATGTTTGTATACCTGTAATGTGCAGTTTTCTTTCCGTTTGAGGAACTCCACAAATCTTGCCACCACGCCTGGTGTGCTTATGACTTCATCTATTGGAGGATTTGGTTCTATTTAAAACAAAATGGAAAGTTAAGATGCATTCATTTATTTGTTGGGGGAATTTCCTAAAATAACAGCACCAAAGTAATACCCAATTAAATGCTGATTTTTCTGAGAGTCTTATTTTCTGTTATACTTCTTTGTCTACCTTTTCCACTAAAAGGCAATGAATTCATCAAAAAGAAGACTCAATTTTAAATTCTGAAGTATTGCTGTAACATCATTTAACAGTAATGCACTCATTAACCTGAGTATAAAAACTTGACAGCAGAAGATCTGCAAAGTCACCTCAGTGCACATATGCACACAGCTCAACTTCCAAAAAGAAAGAATAATTTGTGAGCCATGGAGACGCTGACTAAAATGCTTAAATGTACATTACATATCAGAAATTGCACCTACATCATTAAAAGCTGTACAGGTTTCACAAACAGAAGTGACTGTTAGATACACCTAGTTGGCACGCTACAAGACAATTCTGCTTGGACCAGAAATTTCCACATGGAACTTGATTTACACTGCTGTTAAAGTCAAAATACATGCCAAGGACCACCCAAGATTTTTCTAGAAGAAAATTCTGCCCTTACCTTTAGAAAGAAGCTTTCGGAATTTCTGAGTAGCTGACAGCTGCTGTTCTGGACTATTGGAGAAAATCATCTCTATCATATCAGAGGTGATAACAGCACTCTAGTATTCAGGTGGGGGGAGACAGAACAAGAGTGGCAGAGAGCAAGAGGAAAAGAAAATTGAGAGTTATTGGGGAAAGTTTATAATACTTGCTAAAACTGTCAATATTTTACCCTTATAGAGCAAAAAGTCAGATAACAATAACAACAACTGGGTCATCACTGATTCTGCTTATGTAGCTGTGCATCTTTCTTAAGTATTGTCTTTTTCCTAGAAGACAAAATGCAGAATTTTTTTAAGCTATGATAAAAAAATTGTCTTCAGAAACTCTCACAGGTATTTTCTCTCCTTTTTTTCCTATCTCTCATCCTATAAAATAACTATAAAATTGTCAACTTTAACAAAAGGTAGCTTAAATTAGAATAGCAATTACAGTTACACAAGAATACTGATTATGGTGTTGTTTAGACACCTGCAACATCTATGTTTTAGGTTACTCTTATAACAAAATATACAAGAACTGCTTTTCTTTTTAAGCACTGACAAACCTAATGCTTGTTATCATAATCAAATATAGCATTTATTTTCCCACAATACAGACAGTTTCCATTAATATGGCTAAACTAATCAGTAACGTTTTTTCATGACAGGGAAAATCTGACATTGTTTGATTTGACTAATCTAACTCCATGAAAAGACATCTAAATGATGTTGTATTTTTTTCCTCTCTTTTTGATCCAAAACATTACAGTGGTCAGATCCAAATCCTCAATAAACAGGAAAACAGAAATTAGTGCTGAAATATTTACACTGTCTGTACTTGTGCTCTCAGTAACAAAATGCACGCAGTCTAGATTTTTGTCACCAGAACCAATAAAAGGGAATCAAAACATGCACCACTTTTTAGATCCTTCTTTTTCAGTACTCTTAAGACACTCAAATTAATACTTAAAATACTAACCTGTATGTACAAGATAGGCTTTCCTTACTTTTCACTGTCCCTTTATTTTATATAAAGCTCTACACAAAGAATTAAACAGTATTTAGGATTCATCTGATGTTTTAGGACTACCTTAAAGAATAACCTATTTTCCATTAGTTAACTTTAACGTTGTTTATAGGCATTTCTGAGTAATTTTCATTGCCTAACCATCAGTAGAAATTAAAAGTAGACTGACGTCCTTCAAAATATACTCTGAACACAAGAGCAAGCATGAAGATCAGTGGTCAGACTTTAGGACTCTGTGAAGATTGTATTTTAATTTATTCTCTCTGCTATAGCTGGAGTCCCATACATTTTTCTTTCCACATACAGGAGCACTATAAAGAAACAGTGAGAATGCAGAAAAGCCTAATTTCTATCAGAAGAAAGTTTTCCCATGGGATAAAATTCTAGCTTGGAACGGAGTTCAAGGACATTTGCAGATAGCTAGGCAGGTTTAGTTATGTTTCCAACACCCTGGTTAAAATTTCATTACTTGAAAATTTATTAACAGACTTTCAGCCAGTCTCTTTTTATTTACTCTTTACTCCCATAAAGTTTTCCTCCCATAATCTGTTTCCGGTCACTTCACTGAAACATGTGTCTGAGTAATTCAGAGTTGTCTGAATGCTCTTTGAATGCCACTTTCTGCAATTCTGATCCCTTAAACTCATTGTGACAGGCCCGCTCAGTTTCAACAAACAATATTTCTTCCTCAACACTTACAGAAGTCATTTCCATGTTGTTCATTTGAGCCTCATGGAAGCCACCATCAGACATTACTTCCTCCTCCGCTTCCTCTTCAGCTGTTGCGACATTTCGGCGTTTAAATAACTAAAGAGAAAAAAGCATTTAATAAAAGCACTACAGAATCAAGAGCCAACATACACATCTCACACGCCATATCAGACTGTAAGAAAAATGATAATTAGCATCTCCTGAGAAAAGCTAGAATACTGACACTGTGACTCCTCCGGACAGTAAACAGGCACAGTTTAGTAACAGATGAATATTCTAGCACACAGCCATGTTCATTTCATTTGACATTTCTGAAATGTCTTCACTGATACTCCCTCCTTTTCTCTACTGCTCACCCTCCATCTATCAGCTACCTCTAGCTTCAAGACAATTGCTTTCCTCCCTTCCCCAAGATGAGCAGGGGCTCAAAGACACAACAAATTCCTGTGTATAACTGATCCCTGTGGAATACTTACTGAGATTGGAATAACTAAGTTACTGTGGCAGAGTGGACTTTGGGGGATAATCACTTAAGAATGGTTTAAGAAACTGGGATGAACAAAATTTGGACGCTATCGCATAAAGGAGGTAGCCAGTTTGAGATGTTATCTGGAGAGCTACAGAGACTACAGTTTCTCCCTTGAGCTAGCTATCTCACTGCAAGAAATAACAGCAGTGATGAGTAGGGTTAGAATGTGCTGCTTGGCCTGTCAAGTTCCCTAACGACTCCAGCACTGAACCATGTCAGATTTGTACCACTACAGAGGACAGCCAAGACAGTGCCCCGACATCAACCTGCTGTTATGCTTTTCTCCAGAGAAATCTGGAAGGAAACAGCATGCAAAGCTGTTAAGTCCACATCAAACCCAGTTCACTGACAGGCATCCCTGTGGAGCGCTGCTCCTTCTAGGCTATTCTCCAAAGCGCTCGCCCAAGCTCTTCACACCCTGCTGAAATACAATCCTGTGCCAAAATTCATATGCTGATAATTTGTGTGAAAATTCAGGAACTTGACACTGGTTTTGTAGGGTGGTTTAGCTTTTTTAAAAAAAAAAACAAGCAAACTTTAGTAAAAGGTTAAATGAGTCTTCTCTGTAGGGGCTGAAAATGCAATGCTAAGACAATAAAACAAGGAATAAGAATGTATTTTAAGAATGAATACAAATGGAAATTGGCAAGTCAAAGAGTAAAACAGGCTTCTTCACATAAATCAACAGCTCTAACCAGGAGATGCTAACTCTGGCATTCTCACTGCTAGTCAAGCATCTCACTGACATCCTCGTGACCAGCGCACCAAATACATATGTACTTTTATACTTTTGTAACTGGACATTAGGTCTGAAATTGTAACAATAAAGGAACAAAAGAAAAGACTTTGCAGCTTCATTTCCATTACACTGTAGGTAGGAATAACAGTTTGCCTTAAGGAAATACTACTACCCTTTATTTAGCCAACCTGTGGTAATCAGGTGCAAGGGAGGTCAGAGGCACAGATAAGACAGATTTCTAAAATGACTCATCATTTTCCTAATTAAGTAGCAGCTTTACAGATAACACTGATGACGTTTCGTACTGTCATCTGGAAGTACTGCCTGCTGTTTTGTTTTCCTCAGAAACAATTCCAATTCACTCTCAGAATTCTTTCTTGAAACCATCTAGTGTTGACACTGTGAAAAGGACGTTAAGTAGAACAGATTAAAGATTTAACCTGCTATACCAAGCTCAAGCATTTACTAGCTTTGATTTAACTCAACATGGATGAAACTAAGCTTCATTCTAACTTTGTTGGAGCCAGTCTCTTAAAGCTTCTAATGAACATAACTAAGAGTAAAAGGAAGGACTGCTCAATGCTACACATTTTTATCAGAAGACTGCTTTCACCATGCCTCATCTCTGCTGCTGTTACCCTGTTAAACCTGGAGAGAATCCACCACTTCACAATGTGAACATGGTAGTAAGTACTAGCCAGACATGAACAGCTAGGGGAGCTTTGCTTCCAAACACTCTCCTCAAATATTTTGTGCACAATATACAATAATCCACCCTTGCTTGCTCTGCTAGGGCATAAACTTTTGTAGATTCATATATTAACTGAAAATTAAAGACAGAACAATGAGAAGAATTAGATCAATCTATTCTTCCCCCAGTGAAATCATTACTGCAACTTAAAAGGATCTGGTTGGACACACTTCTACGCTGCCATGTCTTCTTCAACCTATTTCATCATTTTTTAAAGATGAGAGCAACCACAACTCAGCTAGCAAAAAATAAAGAATTCCTTCAGTGCAAGGAGAGACAGCTCTGTCGCAACCACCTTTACTGCCAAGCTGCCAATCTCGCACTTGAGTGAATGATGAGCACTCACTGAGTCTTGTACTAACCAAAAAAAAGGCAGTAAAGTCTGCAACTTATAGATTTCAGGTTGACTGGGAATTTAGCAGGGCAACCAAGAGGCTTCAGAGAAGCAAAGAACTAATGACAGTACAAGACAACTGTTACATTTATGACAGCTGTGGTACAGTACCTGCTCCTCTCTCTTTTGCTTACGCAGCTGAAGACCCTCTTCCTCTCGCCTGCGACGCATTTCATCAGGATTCAGGGATTTGTTCTTGTAGCTCTTCAGTCGGAAATTCTCTTTTCCTGAGGTCGTCATGGTTCCTTTAAGATGCAGTTAAGAGATTCAGTCAGAACAATTACATTTCAGCAACACATCAATTTACATCCTCTCTCTCTCTCTCTCAAACCTCTCTGCGCACTTCCAGCTACTGCCTCCCTATAACTTATTTAACATCCAGTAAATCAGAAAGGGTAAGGCAACTTCACTGTGCCGATTTTTCCACATCAGACCACTCAACTTTTACTTTATTCCTTAGGTAGAGAGATACGAATAAGTGAAATGTTTATCAAGAAAGAACTGAGATTTCTAAGCCAGAAGATACAAGGCTAAGAAGAAAGAAACACTATGATCTATTAGTGCTTCTCCCTTCAAGGGATTTATTAATCACTGCACTCAGAATGGAAGTGGCCTTAGCTCCATTTTAGCTTAATTCACTTAGGAAGTCAGCAGCTTTTTTTGCACTTCAAATCCACATTTTAAGTTAATTCAAATCCATCTTGTGTTCCTTCTATCCAGGCAAGACCTACAAGAAAAATGAAATGGAGATGGACATGTTTTAGATGAAGGTTTACTACTCAGAAGATCCACTTCTTATCTTGCTCTTCCCTTTGTCCCCCACCCCTAGCCTGTAATCCTGTTACTGTTTATACAAAAGAGCCTTTTTAAGCCTATGATTTCCAAGTACCATAATTTATACATAACTTAGTGGATCATCAACTTTAATACGGATCCCTGACAATTTTCACCTATCCAATGGTGCAATTTGGAGTTACCTAGCGTAGACCAACAATTGCAAAACTGAGAAGAAAGTCTACCCATAAACCAAATGAGCCACAGATCAGTCTCCACCTACAGTCCCCCAGTTTCCTGCTACTTCTCTTATGCCTCCCCATTAAGCCCCAAAAACGTTGAGAACAGAATTCTGAAAGTCGCAGTATTTCCATGCATCTTCCCACAGATGTAATATGTGATATGTTATAGCTATCTGACACTCTGTAACAGTGCTTTTAAAGGCCTCCTTCCAGTACCCTAATTTGTTACATTAAATATGCTACCTACTTCCAATTCCATAAGCACAGAATTACCAGATGACAAGAGATGTGCTGTGCACTTCATTTATACAGAGAGTCAAGTGTAAGCTACTTTCTGTTAACATGAAAAATTTTAAGAGATTTTATGCAATATCCAAATGTATTTCTCATTAGAGCTTACTTTTGAAGTTGCTGATGCCTGACAGCCATTTATATAAACTGATGCTTATGAAACATTCCATGCATCACTTCAAGCTAAATGCATTCTGCTAGTTAAAACTTTTACAGGACGCTAAACTACTGTACTTAAGATGGCTTGGTCACGGATCATACTGAATGCAACACAAAAACCTGAACATGTAGATAAGTAATCTAGCAGCCTAGTTCTACTGAAAAAACACTTCCTAAAATGGCTTCTTTATAAATGGAAATCCTGCAAAAATATGATCTCAGGACTCCAGGAGCTCCCTACATCATTCTTAGCAACTTAGAGACTATATTCTTCACATTGTTTAGGTGTCTGAGCTTCAACTTCTCATGTTTCTTGCAATATGCTTGGCAATTACATTTTCTTCCTGTTCTGAGGTTTTTCGAATGACTACAACCTCTAGAAATACTATTTGGAAAAATTGTGGGTTTAATTATAGAAAGCTAATGCTAACAAATACTCAGGCTGAGTACACAAAGTTTTTTGTTTTCAGATAGAAATATTTTATATAGTCTAGAATCAAACACCAGATGGAAAACCATGAGCTAAAAGGACACATCTAACCAAAAAAGGTTTTGTAGCCACACCAGTCAATCTGCCCTACAACACAAACAAGTACAGGCACAAAAACACACACCATAGCTCAGATAAGATCTCATGCCTCCCATGACAGTATTCACCGTTCTGCTTTGCTATCTTGAAACATCTACCCAAACTCACCAGAGTAAATTTGCCATTACTGGCAGTGTCAGGGCTTCGATAGCTCCTGCAATCATTTAACACCTTCACTTTCAGTCCTTAGAAGTTCTCTGCTCATAGAAATCCTTGACATTTATCACATTCAATTCTTACTATCGAATTCTACCTTATTTCTGTTTTGTAGTTCTTCTGTACGATGCTCCAATGTTTCTAAACATCAAGGAGAATCCATCTTTACTGTCAAGTTTCCTTAGCATATTCTTTTTTGTTGTCATTTTTGTCATTTGTGCCTAGAACTTAAGTATTATCTATTTATTACAACCCTTCCAAGCTTTAGCTGTAGCTTTTGGCTATGCTTACTTCTTATCTTCAATACAGCTCCCTTTGCTGACTGATCAGTGCACTTAAAATCCTTTCTAAATAGCATACTGTGCTTTACTCTGTAGTAAAGCTCTTCTACAAACTCCCACCAAGTGACCAGGAATACAAAGTTTCTTCTATTAAGAACAGAAACATTTAGTTTCTTTCAGTGTTGAGAAATCGCTGAATTCAATCACTGATTTCACAGTAGTCTCTAACCAGTGACAAATTAACAAAATCCCAACTTACTGCCACATATCTGCCTGCCTAACTTAATCAATCCAAAGATGCTATCCAAAAGCAGCTTCCGCAACTACCTCAGGATGTCCTAAATCTAAAATGCTGCAATTCCTTTATTGGTTCTATGACCACGTTCAGGACATCATCTAGCCCATATCTCCTGACAGCATCCTTACACCTATTCAGTTTTGTTTTTTTGTTGGGCTTTTTTTTGTTTGTTTTTTTTAAGAGAAAATAAAAGAATCTTATGTCAGTTGCTACAAACATCCAAGAATAGTTTTCCATAAGTCTTCCACTTTTCAGGATGTAGGCTTTGCTCTAGACGAAACCAATGAGTCAAAATAACTTCAAACCTTTCCCATCCATCTTCAACAGTTTTTGCTGCAGCTTAACTGAAAATCTTTCAACAACCAGTTCACATTTACCCACTGTGAATTACTTCATAGCAAACAGTAAATCCTGGATCTTCTCTGCACTATCAAAATTAATGCTGTCTGTGATGAAAGTCAATGGTGGTTGTCATGGAAATGTTCTACAGATCTTCTGTCCTAACAATAGAAGAGTATTTTCCACATTTCTGGACACTCCTACAGTCTGTAGTTTAAAATCCTCGGTAATCCAATGATTTTTCATCATGTACTCTTTCACCTTTTGTGCAGTACTACTGAAACACTGTATTACACTTTTTACTTGCTTGTTTTGGCTGCCTTGAAACAAAAAACAAACAACTCTTTGTAACAAAACGGAAAACATCTATTTTTTGGGTGTCTAAGGTAGCATTCCCCAATTTTTTTTGCTGATCAGGACAAAGGCCATACCAAAAGTGGAGGTGAACAAAGAATAGGTTTTTAGGAGATAGGAAAAGTACTGCGTTTCTGCTTGCTGATTAAGTCAAAGAATTTTAGTTTGTACTGGGAAATGCAGTCACTTATCGCAATGACTTACCTTGTCCCTAGTAATCATCTATATAGGAACAAAAATGAACTCCCTGCCTTCTTAAATCAGATATCAATCATCCGAAGCAGAGACAAAAAATGAACTCTCTGTCTTCCTAGATCAGATATACTGTCACTAGTCTTAAGAACTTTGCTAGGAGGAATGCCATATGACAAACACTTGGCCATTCCACACGTCAGAAGTATCACAATATAAAGGCCTTGCAAATCAAGACCAGCAGAGATGTATACATAATCCCAAAAGATAACTGAAACTACGTTTATGAAATGTACTGATAGCAAAGATGTCAGACACTTTTCTTCTTCAGAATGAAGTTATGGAAATGGGTTACCTGATAACCATATAGCCATACACAAAACTGCACCTTGCAGTCACTGAGAGAAGATGTAAGATTTCAAGGTAGGTAATGCTTTAACTACTCTACAAAACTGCAACTGCTACAGAACCTTTACTTCCGAGGAGACATTGGTTTGTTCAGTGGCTCTGCCACAGAACTCTATACTCCCTCAAGAATTAGCTTCCCCATGGTCATGCTTCTTATCATTCCAAACACAACAGCACAGCCTGGACAGCTACTCCGCCAATTCACTGGCCTCTGCATACAGGATGCATCATCTCCTGAAGTTCTCTGTGACTGAAAGCCTATCCAATTTAAAGAAACAGCTCTGAAAGCAGCACGTAGTTATTCATCAACAGACTGCCTCAGAAGTCCAGCATCTTGGCCACATACACATTTTTAGCCACAAAGTACTGATTTTGAAAAGAGACTATTTTCATTTTTGCCAGTTCCAAGGCAACAGGTTTAGGATCCTAATAAAAGGACTCTGATATGTGGAAATATATATATATATATATATATTTAGAAGAAAGAAAAAGTACTGCATTTCTGCTTGCTGATCAAGACACAGAAAACCTGAACAGCCAGCTTTCTTGTAAATAACAGATAACTTCATGGCATAGACAGGCATAGTTTGCATAGTAAGACCATGAATATACAGTATATGCTGATACAAATAACAGCAAAGGATTAATGCTATTTTCCTGAAAATAACTATCTTTTCTAAGAAACAGAGACAAAAAAAACAGCCCATCAAGTCCCTGCATTGCTTACAATCTTATCTGAGGGAAAAAAAACCCACAGAAAATCAGCAGACTGACATCTCACTGCCACACCTCCTGCTGTCTGAAAAATTGACTCAATCAAACAAACATCCTACTGAGGTTCTATCTGCTTCTTTTGCAAAATTATTTGACAAAGGATAGTGGAACCCAGAGGCCTGTGGGAATGCTCACCAGTAAAAACATAGGTATTAATCAAGGGACAAGGGCGTCTCCAATTTCCGAAATCTTCAGATTTGTTTAAAACTTGGGACATGTAGAGGATGAAAGGATATTTAAGCCACAAAAAGTTTAGAGTATTCAAGTACTACCAGATCAAATTCTAAAGCCTTAGCTCAACTTTCTCCAGCTATAAAATGGAATTGCAAAACAAGTCTGAAGTACTACAAAGTGAATTGTTACAGTATTTGTAAAGACCTGCAAAACA